TATATATATATATATATATATATATATATATATATATATATATATATATATATATATATATAGAATCATTTAGTTTGTAGTCTTGGTGGTTGAATACCTGAAATGTTCGAACCAGAATTTCTCAAAACCGAAATTGTCTTGTTAACAATACCATGATACATCTTAAGTTTTCCTTGAGAGGTGATAACAGAATTTGCTTCATTTACCAATATTTTATGCCCACGAGGTAGATTATCTTTTTCATGAAATAACTGGCAAGTTTGACATATTTCACAACTTTCAACTTTTACTGCGTTGGTATCAAATGGTTCACTATCTGAATCTGAGTCGGACATTGCTTGTCCTATGTTGGCTTTCTTAAATTTTTTCCTAAATAAACAGTCTCTTTTAAAATGATTATAGCATCCACAATTGAAACATTTAATAGCATCTTTATACAATCTTAACTTCTGGGTTCTTCTATCAAACAATTTCTTCATATAGTCTTTATACCCCGGATTTCTGTCACACATTTTGTCATTTGGATGAGATTTTTGACAATATTTGCAGTACATAATTTGCCACTTTTTGTTGAACGTGGTTTTGTTTTTGTGTGGAGTTGCACCTTGGTTGTATCTGCCTCTGTCATAACTGGCACTAGCTCCAGTTTCAATATCTGGTACCGGGTTGGAAATGAAAATTTCACTATGGGCTGAAAAATAATTCTCACCTAAGTTCTCTAACTCCTTTAATGAGGTTGGTTTATTTTCTCTTAAGAATGTTGACATAGGTTTAGGCAAAGATTCCAACATTTTATTCCTTAATAATAAATCTACTAACAACTTATAGTTATCCCTAACATTGGCCGAATCAATCCATTTGTCAAAAATATTCTGAACTTCCGAAAGATAATCAGTGAACGTCTGATCAGACTTTGGCTTTAAATCAAGAAATTTTTTCCTATACCCTGCTTCATGTAAGTCATAGGGTCACATGATGCGATCTTTAATATAGTCAAAGTCTAATCTTAGATGTTCAGGGACTGTTTCTAAGATCTTTAATGGTTCAAATGCTAAATGTTTTTGAAAAAATAATGGCCCACTGGTCTTTTGGGACATCATGAAAGCGCATTTGCAAAAGGAAACTAGATATATAACTACCAATGTCGTCCTTTTCAGAGAAATTCCTAACTATACCTGCATACTTTTTGAATTTATTTTCCTCTTCTCTTAATCTCTCTTTTTGTGTAGCAGCTTCTCTTCTGGAATCATTTTCCATTTCTTTAGTTCTTTTTTGTGCCTCTGCCTTTTCTTTTTCGGTCTGAATTGAAGCAGCTATCTTTTCACATTTCAATTGCATTTCTTGTTCTTTTAATATTCTTTCTTGTTCCATTTGTTTTTCTTTTAATATTTTCTCTTGTTCCAGTTGTTTATCTCTCATCTCCATTTCTTGTCTTTTCATTTCTTTTTCTTGTTCCAATTGTCTATTGTTCATCTCCATCTCTTGTGTCTTCATATCTAGTTCGTGTGCTCGTAACAATCTCCGTTCTTCCCTAGCGTCGTCTTGCATTTTCTTTTCCTTCTCATCACAAAACTTTCTAAGTTCTTCCCCTTCTAAATTTAATTCTTTGCCCAGTTTGATCAGCTCTGCCAAGTTAGACATTTTTATGTCTTCACAATGTAAACAGTGAAGTTACAATTCCTTTCTTTCAAATTACACACCCTAAAAAAGAATATAAGTTCAATATGATGAACTAGTAACTTGAAACAGTAACTGAAATGTCTCCTGGGTATCAACAGATAATTAAAATGAAGTCAAGTATTAGTATAGTAATACTATAGTGTTAATATTGAGTAAAAGTATTATTATTAATATTCTATCATATATGATACAGAAGGGAGGGAAATATTGAAAAAGGTTGATTTATTAAGATGTTCATGATGCAAGTATTTTGCAAACACAATTTGAATCATACCACACCAGATTCATGAGTGGTGAAAACTGGCGAAAATACATATATTAGTGCACTCTGTATACCACCATAAAACCTTGCTCTGGTGATGAAGCCGCATGTTTCTCTTTAGTAAATCGCTTTTCTCATAGTTTTGAGTCCAGCAGGAATCAATGCCCAGTACAGTAGCACACCGTGGCGTGGTGATTTCTGTCACAGGCGTGAGGTAAAGTTAAGCCCAACGTGATGTGTGTAAGGATATACTCCATACCTCACTCGGGTGCCAGTCCTTCACTGTTCTGGTTTTACAGAACTTCATGCAAGACTTCTGCTGCACGTCTTCGTCGTGCGCCACGGATGTCTCAAATGAGCATTAACAGAGCTGTCAGGAGATCTCGGAGTTGGCGGCCCCCAGAAGTGTAGTGTCCTTGTGGCTCTCATCAGTCTGCCCCCAAAAGCATGGGTAAACAAGCTTATCAAAACTCATTTGAAACATGAGTAAAGTCTGCTTGCCATATGAACAACTAAAATGACAACCCCCAGGTAAAAGTTTGTGAAGTGAAGAGAACATTGTGCTACTGAGACTCAACCCTTGACCAAGAGAATAACCCACAGTTCAGACGAGTAACATCTCTTGTGGGTGGCTTCTCGCAGCAAGATTCTACCCGTGTACGTCCTCTGTCAAACCTCAGTGTCGTTGTCACCGCGCTGAGGTACACCACGACAGCAACTGTCCATCAACTAGCAGAGCCCAAATGTCCGTCAAAAATAGATCCTACAGCACACGAGCAAGCTCAAAATCGAACCATCATAAATTGTACTGATTGGGAAAAAGTCCAAATGTCCACATCCTGAGACCCCACTCGTCCGAGTGTTGGGACTAAACAGATAGAGACTTACCTGACACAGGATTCTCCATTCGGCTTGTTAAAGATGTCAAACGTGCGACAAAAAAGAATGAACCTATTCGCGTGGTCACAAAAGTCCAGAACATGCGGTCTTTTCCCCACTGATCTCCGCAGGGCGCAGCCCGTGTTGAGCGGGAGGCCTAATACTGTTGTGATGTTAAGCAATCATGTGCAGGTCATGATGATTCTTTGAGTGAGCCCAGAACCAGAGCATCATGTGTCGGCTCTGCATTTATGGAAGCCTCCTTGAATGGCAGGGAATGCCCATGATCTGCCCCTGTCTTTCCTTGAGGGCTAACCATTCCACAGATGCATAGAATATGTAAGGTTGGCCTATTCTGTGATATGAAAATGTATGCATGTTGGACATGAATAATTCAGGTATTGAGGTAGATTTGTGAAAACAGAATGCAATGGACATTGTTGCAATAAGGGGGAAATCTGAAAGGGAAAAGGAAAAAATGTGGAGGTGATGGCGGTGATACAAGCTTTTATGTGGCTGGAATCACAGGACTTTACCTACATGTGTGGGGCTGAGTAATTTTATGAGCATGATCCAGTGGGTTGAGGCAGGCTGTGTACGCAGAGAGTGGATTGAGTCATTGTGATACTCCACTGTGTCTGGAGTTACTTTCATCTTTGCACTAAGGGCATACATTTGTTCATGGTAATGAAAGAGTTGAAAGATTGATAGGTTTTGCTATAGTTGCAGATGGCCAGCCTATGGATCGTGCTGACATTATTAATGACATTAAAGAGATATGACGATCAGAGGATTTTGTGAGCAGCCTATCCACATCACTGCTACAAATGTGAGAATTAGGAGTAAAGATAGTCATAGCCAGACATTGGAGAGGTACACCGGACATAAAGAATCCTTGTTTAGAAAGCATAGGGCTGGCATTATTATCCACATGTTGCTGATGTATACATTGAAGGGGGAATCTTACCACCTATAAACATGTCTGGAGTGCTGTGAAGATAACACAACTTAAAACTCATAATTCAGACCCGAGCGTTTGAGAAGAAGCACATTACATTCCTGCAACGGCAACAGTAGATCTCAGATTCCATGCTCTGATTGTGGAAGACTTCTAAACATGGGCAGATCTTGCTAATCACATATCTCCGTGTGGATTCCAGGGGCCTATTATGGGTGAAACAAGAATAAACCTACTGCCTCCCCAACAAGCTTGTCCTAGGGGACATCCTTCGAAATCAGAGTACATCTGCCTGAGAGGCTAAGGACTACAATTCTGCATACAAATAAGCCAGGTCTGTGAAACAGATGTGCACACAACACTTAAGTTCTGGAGAAAGACTAGAATCAGGAGGTGGACGAACACCCAGAAATTACGGCTGGTAAACACGAAGAAGAAAAGAAGCGAGTCACAATTGCTATCACATGGGTTGTCACTGCCATGCCTCCTTATAGCACAAAAAAATAATACTATTGTCTGGAAAGACGAAACCGTGCAAACAAACAGATTCAGTTAGATGGCAGAACTGCTTCATGTGTTACATAAGTAAAACTTTGATTAACCATCGCCAGCTGGACCAGGACTGTGACAGATAACTGAGTAGACCAGTAGCAGAAATCTCGAAATACATATGTACAGTAACGTGATTTCACTGTGGACGGGACGAAAATAAAAATAAAATCCTTTAAAAATTGATTAGACATACATTTTGTATTTAATTTTACAAAACGATCAATATAAACTTCGATATAAGAGTAGTAATGTACAGAAATTTATAGTAATATTATCAACATTTTACTTTAAAATAATCTGTCATCTTCTTCTGTGTTTTTGCATGATGATGTTGCATAACTTACGTAGATGTAGGGTCTGTGTTGCATTTACCTCCTGTTGCATTTCAAACCAGTCGATGCACATTGATAACATTGTTTCTGCTTCTAAGTGGCTAGTTATATATAGGCTTTTGGTTAAGAACTGATCCTTTATTGTCATCAGTTTCTTCTTCTCACTCGTAGTCACTAGAAACCATTTCATTATCGGTCTATCCATTTTGTCACATGGTAACCAATATTTTTTTAAAGATGATAACAGAAACTGGTAGTAAAACAAGTAATGTTTAATCAAAGTTTTACTGTATAAATGTTGACAGCATAGTATGTATTTTTCTTCCTGTTTCTGTAGTGAATAGGCTATCACCAGCTTTGGACCTCTCATTTTTGCTGCCAGAGTTAAAGAACTTCAGCACAGATGAGTATTCAACAATGGATGATGATGGGGTAAGAGATGTACATTCATTTAAAAAAAAATAATTAAGGGGTAAATTAAATAATCATCATCATCATGGAGCAGGTCCTTTGCAGAACGTCGCTCTCATCACAGTCTGCCTGTAAGAAACTCGGTCTCTTGCCAGTTCTCCCATCTCATGAACTTTCACACTCAAGGAGTCACTTATATCCTGTGCCCATCTTCGTGTCGGTCGGCCCCTGCCCCTCCTTCCTGGTACCATGCCTTCTGCTATAATGTTTTCCAATCCGTCGTGGCGCTTGATATGACCAAAATATTTCAGCTTTCGAGAAAGGATGCTGTTTATTAGCTAATTTTCCTTGATGTTCAGATCTTTTAAGATGTCAATATTTCTCATCTTCTTTGTCCAAGATCTTTCTATAGCATTTCAGCTCAAAAGCCCCTATTCTCTTTTTCAAGGACTGAAAGATAGTCCACGACTCACATCCGTATGTAGCCACAGGGAAGGTGCATGCTCTCAAAATTCTAATTTTTATCTCCTTGCTGGTGCTTAACCATTGACTTTTAAGGCTGTTCAATCTTTGCATTGCTATGGCCTTCCTCCTTTTAATTTCTGTCAAAATTAAATAATAGAAAATTATATTTTACTTCAAAGATGGACAGATTGCAGTGATGTTGGAAGCCACATAACCATATAAACTGTATAGATTAGAATTTCAACACTCGTGTAGCGTGACTGAAAGGTAATAGCGTCTAATCCAGACTTTGGTAGGTTCACACCAAGGAGAGAATTTGAGTTAAAAAAATATAAAACGAAAACCTTTTTCTTATAATGTCAGGTGTTCCATAATCTGAAAGAGCAGGTACTTTGTCCTTTTTTGTGTGTTATAAAGTAAAAGAACAGGAGTATCACTTGTTTGGTTTATGTAATGGATCAACATCATGGCACAAGAGTAGTAACCCATAAGTGCTTCAGTCTACTTCTAACTCAAGCCTAAGTCCGATGAATCTCAGGGCAATGCAAAAACTCTGTAGCACCGGCGAGGATCTTGAAAACTTTAGGGAAGATTTTTAACTCCAGATTTTCGCCCTGACAGTCTTGCTAGGCTACTCTGTTCGATTTGCAACTGCCAAGAGATTTTTTTTTACATGCACAGCAATACACACGGGCGTCTGATCTTACTGCCCAGAGACCAGGGGAAATTACTAGAAGGCCACTTAAAAAAATCCCAGCCTTCACCGAGGCCTGAACCCAGTTCCTCCAGCACCCAAGACAGACGCCATGCAGCGAGACCACTCAGCCCCCCTGTATCACTTTTGCTCATTAACAACCTCACGGCGGTTGGTAATCTCAAAGATTAGTAACATTACTGCCCTGCTTTTTGTAGAACCACTTCTAGAATTTGAGTTGTAATATACCTATTTAAACAGCAGTTTAGACAAAGATAGAGAAAAATATACAAATTATGAAAATGGTTCCAAACTTAGATTACATAACTTGAATGTGAAATAAAAATACTTGTTATCATTATCAGCATCCTAGCACGTAACTCCTACCAACTCGTGCTATATCCTCCAATGCAGCAGCCATCTCAGTGTTTAAGTGCTCAACTTAACCAGTAGGAGTTGAATGTCCTATCTTCTTCCATTGCCATGCAGAGGTTTTCTGCATGTGTATCCATGTTTGATAGCTATTTCTAACAAGTGGTTCATCGTCTCCGACTCCCTTGTCTCATTGTGTTCTTATACTCAGCGTGTTCAGCATGTCTGCCCTGTTTTCACTTCTTCCTCCACTAACCACTGCCGCTTTGTCGTTGGTTTTCACCGCGGCATATACAGCTAAGATGGTTTCTTACGGCAGGGCTTCTGGATGCTGTCAACCCATCCTAGTTGGAGTTTGCCAGTTTGGATCTTCATAAGCATGTTCATTGAGTCTGTAACTATCATATCAATGCATGAGTTTTTTTCTGTTCCACCAGCCATGCAAGTGTCCCTGTGACATCTGCTGTCTCCATTGTCACGTTAGAAGTAGTAGTAGTTAAACTGAATGTCTGACTCTCTTGTTTCACTGTCTTTCCACTGACCTTGGCTGTGTGTGCCCACCCAGACCCCACAAATCACTGAGCCACCTGGCTGAGTGTGCTCGTGTATGAGGGCTCTTATTTTAAGAGCAGCGGCTGTTTGGCGCATTCTCTTGATTATCTGCCTAGGGTGATTATTACGTCATTGTGCTCCTGCAATTTTTCTAGTGTTTTTTTTCATTCAGCACTCAGCCTGACATGTGTCAGTGTAAAAATTTGGTTAAAGGTGTTCTCTTTTTCCACCACCCAGGACTGTCCCTTCTTTAAGCACCTTTCTTTGTTCGCCTTGTTGTGCAGAGGGATGTCAGCAACATCCAGGTAGACCCTTGCCTGGGCAGTCTTGTGTCTGGTGACCATCTCAGGCAGGTCGAGGCTGTACTGCATGTCATAACATGAGGTTAAGGTCACCATATGTCCCGTTTTCACCGGGACAGTCCTGTTTTTTAAGTGTGCCCCGGTTATCCCGTTGGCACTTGCTTGGGATGTTCCATTTTCAGCTCATGATGTTATGGTCACCCTACATAAGGTTCTCTTGTGCACCCCAGGATCAGTCTCATGGATCCTCTCTAGTATTTCCTGGTGATGTCTGATTGTGAGAAGGCTAAGCCCATAGTCCTAAGAGCACCGGACTCAGATAAAATATAAGCAGCGATCTTTGTTTCTTCTTGGCTTCTGTCATCATCCTGAGCACCACCAGGCTTTAATAATGACATCATTGACAATATAATCAGAAGGAGTTTATTTTGCATAGTAATAATTCTTTAGCCATTTGTCATTGCAAGGTTTAGCTGGAGGTTTGAGGTAACTGGAGTCAGTCAGCAGAAACTGATTCATTCCTGATGGTGTAATTGCATAAGTTGCACAAATTCGCCAGCTCGCTGTTGCTGGATTGGATACGCTATAAAAAATCTGGTAATAATATAACTGGAATGCCCTTGCATTGGAACCCACAAAGCTCAAAAACATAACATGAGAAATAAAAAAAAAGCTTCTGAAATAGAGCATTAGAAATAGAGAAAAAAGTGTTGGAGGCCCTATTGCGGGGAACCAGAGAAAAAACCCACCGCGCCCCCCCCCCCCCCCCCCCCCACCACTTTAGCATGTCATAAGAGTTGGCTAATTACCTGGTTGCCTGGGGGTTACATTCAGAATAAAAATACTACTGCTGTGGTAGTATTGTGGTGGAAAAAAAAGGGGGTGGGGGTAACCTTCTGGCCGCTAGATAGAACTTGATACCTATAATGGTATCTAACTAGAGGGTGCAAACTTTACATGAATGCATGAAAGAGATAAACACAGACCCCTGAGCTGAAAATGTGCATAATTAGGTGAAGTACATTCAGATGGGGGGGGGGGGGGGTAGTAACTACTGACAGCATACGAACACTTCAGTGAGTACAGAGAAGTTAAGTCAGCAGACCACATGAAGTGAGTAAATTCAGCTCATTAGAATTGTTTTATTATCTTGAATTTCTCATTATAACTTGAATAGAGCCGCGTCCGTGGCTTAGGCGCTGCAAGTCCGACTTTTATTTCAACATACCATGATCGAAACCCACTGCTGCCTGCATGGATTTTTATCATGGTATGGGGTGTCGCAGGTCGAACCAGCATAAAATGGGTATCATGATGTATGTCCTGGGGAAGTAATAAAGGCCGGTGTAATGCTGACCACATTACCCACCCACCTAGTGCCGATTGGTCTGAAAATATATGTGCTTTTCACAAATGCCCGATGTGCCTTAAGGCATGAAAAGGGATCTTTGCTTTTTATTTTGTCTCATTTTAACATTGTATTTATGTTTTTCCACATAACAAACAAAAAAACATCAACTCTAGATGTCAGTTCCACCTCTTGCCTGTGCCTTTGCTAAAAGTAAGTGTCTAGATTTTGTTTATAATTTTACTTGAAGTTTTATTTTAATTTATATAATTCTTATTATCTTCTTCTTCTTCGCATTCACCAGCTGTACACTCTGGCGGAAAGTTCTAGTTGCTCGTCCACTACTGAACTGCAGTCCTGCTCCAGAACCTGAGTGTTGCATGTGCATCAGTTTTACAGATCTCATTCTCTTGAATACAGACTGTTGGTTCCTTGCCTCTCCGGTAGATGCACTCCGACTTCAAAGGAAGCTCCCCAATTAGTTGGCTCTTACGACATGCTTTTGGGGAGGCAGTGAGTCTATTCTTGTTTTCCCCACAATGGGGCCCCGGAACCCTCACGGGGGATTGTTATTATAAAATCAGTATCCTTAATAGTCTAGTAGAGCTTAGGGGTTTACAAACACATTAGTCAGGGTTTCAGTTGTAAACTGACCATTCATTCCCTATGATGGAGCCATTATTGTAATGTATGTGTTAGACATTTTTCTGGGCTTTGAGAAACAAGCAGAACATTTAAAATTCCATCATAGATTATGTCAGCCCAAAGGTTGGTGATGATGCTTCTAGATAATATCCTTGCATAAATGTCTGCCTAGAGCTGCTTTAACATTGATACCTCCATGCCTTTTGATGCTTCTAGATAATATCCTTGTATAAGTGTTTGCCTAGAGCTGCTTTAACATCGATACATCCATGCCTGTTGATGCTTTTAGATAATATCCTTGTACAAGTGTCTGCCTTGGGCTGCTTTAACATTAATACATCCATGCCTGTAGATGCTTCTAGATAATATCCTTGGATAAATGTCTGCCTTGTACTGCTTTAACATCGATACATCCATGCGTGTTGATGCTTATAGATAATATCCTTGTACAAGTGTCTGCCTTGGGCTGCTTTAACATTAATACATCCATGCCGGTAGATGCTTCTAGATAATATCCTTGCATTAATGTCTGCCTAGAGCTGCTTTAACATTGATACATCCATGCGTGTTGATGCTTCTAGATAATATCCTTGTATAAGTGTATGCCTTGGGCTGCTTTGACATTAATACATCCATTTATGTTGATGCTTCTAGATAATAACCTTGCATTAATGTCTGCCTAGAGCTGCTTTAACATTGATACATCCATGCATGTTGATGCTTCTAGATAATAACCTTGCATTAATGTCTGCCTAGAGCTGCTTTAACATTGATACATCAATGCATGTTGATGCTTCTAGATAATAACCTTGCATTAATGTCTGCCTAGAGCTGCTTTAACATCGATACATCAATGCATGTTGATGCTTCTAGATTATATCATTGGATAAATGTCTGCCTTGTGCTACTTTAACATCTATACATCCATGCCTGTTGATGCTTCTAGATAATATCCTTGGATAATTGTCCGCCCTGTGCTGCTTGCATTCTGTTCTCCGACATGTCAGAAAAATATATGGTTTGATTTGTTTTGCTTGCTGTGACCTGTGTTTTTTTTAATCTACTTGTTCAGTGCCACAGCATCAGCATGTTGTCAGCGTGGTTGATGAAGATGGCTACCTTGTTCTCTACAACACCCACAAGACAGGCCAGGCCGCAGTCATCAAAAGTAATTTGTTTTTGTTTTACTGTACTTCTCAAATGCAAGTGATCACGAAAGTACTTTGTGTGTGTGAGTTTATTACCAAATCAGGCATAGTAACACACAGTTACTCATATTTAATTAGCATGGGGTCTCCATGATGAAGCAGTCTTTTGTCTGGCACTCTGAAGATTGTTGGTCCATTTTTAAATTGTCATTCAGTTTCCCTGCAAAATTTATGCTGAGATCCATGGAAATAGTCACTCGAAGGTGTTTATGCTTTGTGGGACACTTGGCAGGCAGCCGGCAACTATACAGAGAGTCTGTGCTATCTACAGGTGAGCAGGAAACTGCTTTACCACAAAAATCACATAGCTTTGTACACAGAAAATAAAGCAGTTATAATGGATTAATTTCTTTATTATTCTGAAATAATGCGGCCATATTAACTTAATGTTTTTGAGAAAACAGTGATGGTTCCTAGAAAAAGAGGCAGAGGACAGCTAGCACAATATTCGGCCGCCAGCACAACACTCTTCCACCAGCACAACACTCTTCCACCAGCACAACAGTGGACCAAAAGAAGGGAGCTAGAGGGTGAAGTTAAAAAACACAGGAAAGACATGGTATGAGCTGCATGCAATATTGAAGGATAGAACAACTTGGCATGAAATGTTTGAGGGCCTGTTCTCCATTGGGAGATAGAAAGCAGAAGAAAAAAAGAATGTATCCTTCTGTCTCGGCTTCTGTCAGTGCCAGCCAGTGAATTATAGTTTGCTGTCATACAGTGCACTAGGCATCTGTCATGTATCAGTTCTGTATTTTTCAGGCAGGGAATGCTCATGCCTTGCACACCTTTGAGTCCTAAACATCATGTGTGATGTTGTTCTGAGGTGGCTGGTAAGCAGCTGTAAATTTAGGGACATGTCTGGTCCCAAGACTCAGTGAGCTATTCTCAGGGTTCGTAGTGGACCGGGAAACCTTGAATTTACCGGGAGTGTTTTTTTTAGGGACCAGGAACAGTGATTTTAAGCTTAATAAAGACATTCTGACCTTGAGAAGCATGAATTTTGACCGCCGCAATGAAATCGTCAGAAATCCTGTGATTTTCAGCACAGGTTATTTTTGGGAAGCCATTTGGCTTTTTTTGGGCCATTTGGCTAGTTTTTGGCTACTTTCGTTGTATGGTCGTTTCAGATGTGAGGGCAGCTGATTATTGGCTATTTTCAGCGGAAATGGCTTGTTAAAGGCCAGGGAAGGGCGGACTGTGTTGCAGATCATGAATACATGCAGACAGCAGCGGTGTGGCATGGGGCGGGAAGTAGCAGCTTCCATCTCGCGCATGTGTGTGTGCCTTTGTTTCTAGAGAGTCGGGCAGAATGAACAGTATAAATCATTTATGGCCGTGGTTTCTAGAAAGGATTACATTGGGAGATGGTGGGGCTCGGTTCAGTTGTATTTATAAATAGAGTCGCAGTGGTGGGGGCTAAGCACAGTCTTCTCTATTAATTAGAGATGGCATTGGGGCTAAGCAAAGTGACTGCAGCTGGATTTCCCAGTTCTATTTTTGGCCTGCATTTATCTTTACAGTGTGTTTGGCGATTAGTATTGTAATTCCCCGAGATTCCCTCTTCTGTTGTCTCACCTCTCTCTCTCTCTCTCTCTCTCTCTCTCTCTCTCTCTCTCTCTCTCTCTCTCTCTCTCTCTCTCTCTTCCCTCCCCTTTCACTCTTCTACCTATTACTCCTTCCTTCCCGTCTCCTGCATTGTCTCTAACCCTCCCTTCTAATCTTCATCTTCTTCTCTTTCTCTCTATCTTTCCTTTTATACTCTAATTTTCTGTCTCCCCCCTCCCTTTTCCTATTTTATTTCTTGTTTAAATGTTTAGTAAATGTGCGGCTCCAAAACTCTTCCTAGCATCTCAAGTACACAGGAAGTTGTATTATATTGGGGGGGGGGGGGGGGGGGGGGGGGGGGGGGGGGGGGGTGGTCCGTTCTGCGTGAACATGGTGGATATTTTCTTTTGATGTGTTTGTTTTCTTAGCGGGCCTTAATCTCTGTCCATCTCCCTTCCCGCCCCCTCACATTTTGTCCTACCTGTTCCTCACTCTCTGCCTGTCTGTCACTGCTTTCCTCTCTCTCTTTCTCTTTGTATTTGCTGCTCTCCCTCACTCCCCCCCCCCCCCCCCCCCCCCACTCTCTCCCTCTCTCTATCTCTCTACCTTCAGTTGGCATAGAAGGTTATGTGTTGCCTAGTGCAGAACATTTCATGTCCACCATTCTCCCCCCCCACCCACATTAAATATATGTGTACTTTTAAAAACACATTTGCCATCACCCCCCCCCCCCTTTCTCCTCCCACATTGATGACACCTAGGGGAGGGGGTGCACCCCTTCCTGCTACCTTCTTCCCCCTATATCTCATCTTATTTCTTACTCCCTTCTTTCTCTCCCTGTCTCATTCCCACTTTATTTTCTCACCTCCTCTGTCTCACCCTTACCACCTCAGCATTCTACACCACTTTCCACCACCTCCTCTCTCCCCTTCTTTCTGTAATTGGAAAACCAAAAATAAAATGAAGTCCACTGCTGCCCTGACCTATTTATGTGTGTGGGTAAACTTCTCTATTTTCCACCAGTGGTGGGTTGGGATCCCCTGGACTTTTTTTTCTTCTTCATAAAATGACCTTGGCTCTCAGGTCACCAGCCTTAAGTGTAAGAAATTGAATTATTGTTGTCACACACAGATAGGACAAGCATGGGGCAGTAGGGGTTAGCACTGTTGTTTATGGACCACAGCCACATTCACATTGGGAGAGGGTAGGAACTGGAAAAGTGGCCTAATTGTGGAGATTTCCTAATTCTATTTTTGGCACTCAGTATTCTCACACACCCCCCCCCCCCCCCACAACCGTGTCTTACCTCTCTTCTCTCACCCCTTCTCTTTCCTTTGATCTTCTACTATTCTCCTTTCTCTCTCCATTCTTCCTCTGTTCCTTTCCTTGCCCTTTCTCCTGTCCCATCTCTTCTTTGTCTCCTCTCCATCCTGTCTTTTCATTTTCTCTAGATTTCCTTACCCGCTCCCCTCTCTCATTCTCTCTCCCCCCCCCCCCCCCCCCCCACCATTTTTTTTTCTGGTTCATCTACATATTTGTTTGCCCCATAACTATCTTTTCCTAGTGATTGTGTCCACTATACTTGAAATTGTGTCGGGGGAGTAGGTGGGGTTTCAGCACGAGGCTGTTTTTTTTCTTTGATGTATCTTGTCTCCCTTCCTGCCCCTCTCTCTTAATCTGTGTTTGTCACTGCCTTCCTTACCCACCTCTCTCTCTCTCTTGCTTTATGTCTGTTTGCCTCCCTTCATCCCTTCCTCTTTGTATACCTGCTCTGCCTTTTTTCTCTTTCTTTGGTTCTCTCCCTCTGTCTGCTTGCCTCTCTGTGCTGTCCCTTTGTCTCTCTCTCCTTTATGTCTACATCTCTCTCTGCTTGCATCTGCTTCTCTCCTTGTCCGTTCTCTCTCCCTCTGTCTCCCTTCTTTCAACTCTTTGTCATATTTTCTTCCTTCCATATCTGTGTTTTGTTCCCCTTTTCCTTCTCTTTTCATCTGCCCATCTCTGTATATGCATTCCCTCTTTCTGTATTTGTCTCCCTTTCTGTCTTTCGCTGTCCCTTCCCCGATTTTCCTCATCATGTCTCCATCCCTCCCTCTCATTTTTTCATCCTTCCCCAGACTTCTTTTCCTTCTTTTCTCTACCTTCATCTGTCCATCTTTACACTGTCTCTCCCTGCCTACCTCAGCATGTGTCTTCCTCCCTCTCTGCATGACTCTCTCTCTCTCTCCCCCTCACCCTTTCACGTACCAGGTCCAGAACAGACAGGACTTCAGTTTGCTGCCCTCTACCACCAAGCCCTAAAAAAATTTCAAACACTATATCAAGCTCAGGGGCCGACCAACACGAAGATGGGCACAGGATATAAGTGACTCCTTGAGTATAAAAAAATACATGAGACGGGAGAGCTGGTGAGAGACCGAGTTTTTTTTGTCAGGACAAAGGAAATGCTACATGATGGTGATATATGTGCTGGTATACCAACACATGTGGCACGAATGAAGTACATTGTGTGCTCAGTACATCCTTGAACAAGGCAAAAATCATGTTTCAGTATTACACCGAGACAGCCTTGAAAAGAACTAAGGAGGCCTTGAAAAAGACCTTGAAAAGCCTTGCAATTGATTGGTAAATTTGGCTATGAACCCTGTATTGTGCCCTTAGTCTAAGTCATATATTGTTTTTGTTTTCTTTTAAAAATTATATGTTCCATTTTCATGACCAGCTTGGCAAGTTCACGCGAATGCAGTATTTGATCTGGAGTGGTTTAGTGAGGAAAACAAACTACTGACAGGGTCTGGAGACCAGACAATTTTACTTTATGATGTGGAGACGTGCCAGAGGCAGGAAATTTTCCGAGGCCATGCCAGCAGCATCAAGTCAATTTCTAGCAAAGTTCATGACAATGGTATTTATCCTGTTGCTTTGGTGTTTGTAAAATTAAATTAAACATTAAAATTGATTTTATCATCCGTTTAAAAACTTAATAATAAAAAAAAAAAATCATTTAGTATATTTCTAATCTTTTATGAATAATTGTGTAATAAAGATATTCACACTTTCTCTCGCCACCCAAGTAACTTTTCATATGTTAATTAATTAGTCACAGAAAATATGCATTTGGTAGACTTTCTATTGCTGTAATTTTATATATTAACCTATTCCATCCAGATGTCTGTTGTTTAAAGTGGGTGCTGTCTCAAACCCTGGGGGGAGGGGGGGGGGTGGAAGCGGGCCTCTGTCAAATTTGTGCACACTGTTATGGCCTAAGGGAGCTGTAGGAGCCTTGAGCACAGTAAGAGGCATACAATAAAAATAAGGCAGAGGTTGAGGAAAATTTGAAGTAGAAGAAGAAAGGAAAGGAGTATTTTGATAAACTGTTCACACTTGTTTTGATGTTGTGTGTACAGATTAAACCTGTTGTTAATACTTATTTGCAAATAAAAATTATAAGTTATTATTAATTGGCTTAATCCTTCTTATTAACATCACTTGAAATGTTGTTTTTAGTATCTGCACTAGTGTTATCTTCCCCATACTTTCCACACCATGTGGAAGGACGGCCTAAGCAGAAAAGTCTGCATGCAGAAGTTACTCACAGTATGAATTCTTGGATAAGAGACTTCCTTACAAATGAAATTATTAGCTCGATTCTTCTTCTTCTGCCTTTTATCCGCTATAGTATAGGCCTTCAACTCACACCTAGTCGTTCTATCCTTCGCTGTTGCATGCAGCTCACCCCATGTCCTCACCATCTTTCTAACTCCACTCTTAAGCTCCCTTCTCCATATGTTTTTGGTCTGCCTTTGTTTCTGTGCCCCTGTGGGTTCCAGTGAACAGAAATTCAAGTTATATTGTTCTTAGGTTATATTGTTCTCAAGTGACTGAATCCCACAGAGCAGTATAAAAATGTCGGCTATCCTCCGACTAACGGTCGGTAAAGATGGCAGCCGCTAAATATCCTTTCGAGCCACAGTCACGTGTCAATTGCGCCGACGACTACCGCCACGTGTCACGGTGTGGAATGGGTCTAAACTAGATGGCTAGGACCCACGAGCAGCAGCCGCGGTGTGCTCGTGACCGCTAGTGCGCAATTGACACGTGACTGTGGCTCGAAAGAATATTTTGTGGCCGCCATCTTTACCGGCCGTTAGTCTGAGGATAGCCAAAATGTCAAGTCTTTTCTTGATTTACCTAACTCCCATTACTATAGCTTATCCCTAACAAGTATACAGCAGTCAACTTGTAGATTACTTTTTGGACTGCCATGATAAACACCCTGAAGAGCCTCCAAGCAGCTTCAAAAATCAGTAGAAATAGTAAAGGGCTCACCAAAGAATTAGTGTTTAACACTGATGTAAACAGTACCCGCAGTAACAAGTCTCTCGCCCCACAAATAAAGAATATCCATACTATTAGAGAATCAACCAATACTTCAGCAGACACACCCAAGTTTCTGTTTCTTGAAATTATCTGCGACTCCAGACAGTCATATTAAGCCAAAAACAAAGAAAATGTCTGTGCACCTGTAATACGAAGACCAGCTGTAATTAAAAACAGCTGGATAGAAAACAATTATGAGCCACTGTAGACACATTAAGACAAATCTACACTAGAGCAGTCAGGCTCATGAAATAGGAATTAGGTGACTGGGCTAAAGCGGCAAGAACGAACTTGTGAAAAGCATTGAATAAGTATTTTTTTTTAAAGGGATACATTTTATGTTTCAAATGTTATCCTGCATTTTCTGAACAGCTGTCTTTGTGTCTGGGTCAAGAGATGGACACATTATGATGTGGGACAAAAGGATATATCATAAAGGTAAGGCAAATTACCATTGCATTTTCTAAGGGGTTAAAATGCTGTCAGACTGTCCATGTCTCTTCCATCCAGGTTCACTTTCAAACTGTTGGTCATTAATGTATTTCTTTGTCTCTTTTGTGTACCATTGATGACGATTTCCTAAAACAGGCATGTCGAACCTGCGGGCCGCATGCTGCCCTTTGCAAGCACACATGCGACCCACAGAAAGGAAATATTCTGCAATAATTTTTATTAAATGACTTTATTAGTTGTCGTGTGTAGCCCTCATGACAACATAAATACAACCCATATGGCCCTTAGGGGACGCTCAGTTTGACACGCGTGGTGGAAGCAACATCCAGCTTTGTTAGTAGCATAGACTAGAGTGCAGAGACTGGCCAGCTGGTGCTGCAGACTCAGAAGTTAACAAATGATTCATGACAATTCCTAACCAAGTGATGTGATTGTCTATACTGATGGCTCTGTGTTGAGGGGCAGATGAAGTGCATGAGGTTTCATAGCAAAGGCAAATATACGTCGCCTAGTGCAGCAAACGTTTAGTTTGAGAATAGAGGTGGAGGCAGATTCTGTTGGCTTGAGAATCAGCTATACAGACATGCCGTGATTGTAACTGACTCACAGAGCATATTGAGAAAGATGACAAGTGGCAAGCATCACTTCAGAGGTCCCGGGTGGTTAGCATCCTTTGAATATTTTCTTCAGGGGATGCCGGTGTGTGGAGAAATGAGCAGGACAATAGACTGCCTAGATGGTGGTGAATAAATGTATGACAAGTTAGATATTGTGAGAGCCCTTTGGGATCGAGTGAACAGTGTAGAGGCGCAGATAGGTCATTACGATTTAAAGAGAATGACGCTGCGAGAATTTACCAGGGGGTCTGGCCGACGCTGAACACTCAGGGGAAGGATGAGACGTATGTACAATCAGATGGTTACTGGTACCATCAGAATTGGAACTCTTCGCTTGCTGCTGAAAATGGGGAACTGAGCACTTATGGGAGTGTCCTGAGTGCTGTGATGTTGATTCTTAATTCAGCATTCAGTAGCATAGTGCTAGGTGTTGCATGAACACAGTAGATAAATTCCCTGTTTGGGTTCCAGGTCCCCACTGGGGAGAACAAGAATAGATCCACTCCCTCCCCAACCAAATATTGTAGGAATCCACTCATTGGGGACTTTCTTGAAAGTCAGAGTGCATATGCCTGAGTGGCAAGAAACAACCAACTGTACACAAATAAGCCAGTAAAATGGACATACATGCAAAACTCAGGCCCTGGGACAAAGCCAAAGTCCAAATGGATGAACAAACCAGGACTTTCCACGAGAGCTTTAGCCGGAAAACAAAACCCCCCAAAAAAGTAGATAAATAGGTCACCGCAGAATACAAAATGAACCAAATGGACATGTCTTTTGTAAATTATCTCTCTGTATTCAAACAAAAGGAAGGACATGCAGAACACTGCCTACTAAAATTTTGAGGAGTACATCACTACAGTCCTGAAACAAAGTATTTTTTACACGCAGGGAAACATTATCGTCTTCGGCCAGCATATAAAAGGTTTCCCATCAGCCAGTATATTTGCAATGTTTTGAGTTTCTCAAGAGGTGCTGGTGGGTTGTTTCCAGAGGAAATAAAACAATTAGGGCAACTGTGTTCAACTTTTGATGCTGGTTCGCACGTTATGTTATGATATTTGTGAATTCCAGCAAACATCTGATTTCATCAAACCCTCTTCAGTTGCCTTTTACGGCATGCTTGTTAGAAACCCCACCACTTTTGAGTCTTTACAGGGAAGTCCAGTTCAGCAAAATACTTAAGTCACCTTTTATGACATGCTTGTTGAGAACAGCAGGTCTGTTCTGAAAGAGTTGAGTTGATAATAACTGACTACAAAACAATACAGTGTGCTCAGCATATCTTATCCATATTTAAGAAGATTATTGACTATTTTAAGTCAATCGTAAGGGGTGCCAGCAAATATGATTGTATCTATTTGTTCAGGTAATTATTGAAATTGTAAATTCTGAAGTGAATTGATTGAAAAACCTAAAGTAGCACTGTGATTTTGGTAACAGGCATAAGGCCATTGTGATGTGTCTAATGAGGTCACCCCTATCCCCATCGCTGACCAATCTGCACGTAGTTGCCCTAGATGGATTCTCCATGGACACACCTCTAGATAAAGGGACGCAACACAATAATGCGATGTCAGGTCCCATGAAACAATACGGGGAATCTAACCCTGTGAACCCATGCTTGATAAAAGTCAGATGCTTTGACCGAAAGGAGCGAATATCACAGCTATGCTGTAGTCAGGCGCCGCGCAATTAGGTCACTTGGACGAATGAAAAGAAGAACATTAACAATCTGAAGCTTGTTTTAAGTCATGTAATTTCAGACTATTTGGTCTGAAGACTGCCCCTGTCTGAAAATATGACACCTGCATTCTAGATTTGTGGCATACTTATACAGTTACATTTGAAAGCTGTTGTGATGGATTCTGCTCAATTTCCACTTCCACCTAGATGCCTTGTGACAAAATGATGGAATTTCCCGTGGCAGGATAGTTGAATCCTGAATAATAAGTGCAAGGTTTTTATCAGCGATTCTGGCATAGGCTTCTTCACACCGAAAAGTGCAGTTATAGTTAAGAGTCATTTCCTTCAGTTGACACCATTACAGTTCTCATACTGTTCACATTCTTATGAGCAACTCTGAAAATAATTAGATTTGCAGTTAAACTACAGGTTTTCAGTTATCCACATTCATAACAAAGCATAGCAACCATTTGAAAATCAGTTGAAGATATTTGTTGATTTCATTACACAATAAACACTTAGATATGATTCTTGTTGTAGGTGAAACTGTTCCGCCCATTGACACCATCTTCAATGCTCATATGCTGCAGCATCAAAATATTAGCAAGGGTAAAAAGAAATGCCAAAACCCGCTTGTTAAGGTATGTATTTGTAATTTTGTTGTTGTTGCTTGTTTGTGTTGACAACTTGGTTTTCGTATGTCTGATAATATCTTTCAAGACCTTGCCAACTGGCATGAGAGCTGCATTTGTTTCACAACCACCATTCTATAGTGTTATTTATTAGTTAATTTGCTGTAATATTTCTAGCACATGAGGAGGTGATTTCAAAAACATTTTTTATGCTGTACAGGTTTGATTCCATCTGGGAGGCAATTAGGATGCAGCAGACTGCCCTGCCTTGGTTTCACCAGTGGTATTGAGAGCCTTCCGTTCAGGATAAGTGGCAAACTGCTGATTGTAGAATGTTGAATATTGAATTAAGAATTGACATCACAGCACTCGGGACACTCCATAAGTGCTTCGTCCCCATCTTCAGCAGCTAGCAAAGAGTTCCCATTCCGATGGCACCAGTAACTGTCAGATTGTATATCAGTCTTGCCTTTCCCCTGAGTGTTGAGCGCTGGCCAGATCCCCTTGTAACTCCTGTCAGCGCCATTCTCCCCAGGCCGCAATGATTTATCTGTTCCTTTGCACTGTTCAATAGCTCACAAAGAGCCCTCATAACATCCAGCTTGTCATACATAAGTTCACCGCCAAGCTGTGGAGAACTGGCCGGTCTATCTGCCTGCTCATTTCCCAACACCGGCGTAACCTGGTAAAAATATCGAAAGAATGCTAACTACCTGGGACCTCTGAAGTGATGCTTGCCACTCTGCATGGAGTATGCCTGTCTTCACTTTTCTCAACATGCTCTGTGAGTCAGTTACAATCACGGCATGTGTGTACAGCTGATTCTCAAGCCAGCGGAAGGCAGCAGTGACTGCCTCCACCTCCATTCTCAAGCTAGACGTTGTGATATCATATGCCAGGCTTTACTGCACCAAGCAATGTCCATTTGCTTTTGCTATGAACCCCCATACACTTTGTCTGCCCCTCAACACAGAGCCATCTGTATAAACAATAACATCACTTGGGCGAGAATTGTCATGAATCATTTGTTTAACTTCTGATTCTGCAGCACCAGCTGGCCAGTCCCTGCACTCACGACTCAAAGTGATAAGAACCCTACACAAGTCTTAAACTTGTTCGGACACTTTGACCCACTCTTCTCCTCGCTTAAATTTATCAAGCCTGCACACATGTCCAATCATGTTTTCAGCTTGCGCCATCCAAGACCTTCCTTTTTTCACTCTGTGATTCTTAGCTTCACCCAGGGCTTCCTGAAGGAGGTGCTTCTTGTCTGCAGCTACTCTTAAGATATGACTTTGCTTGCAGAACTTTGAGCCTATCAGCAATAGTAGGCAGTGTGCAAGTATATATCTCTCATACATACTACTTGGGTATCTCTTGTACATCCCAGAATTACCCGCATGGTTTTATTCTGAATGTGTTCAAGTTTTATTAACTGACTCTTTGATATGGTAAGCATTCCAAGTCCATAATCTATTACGGACTGCTTGATTGTAAACATTGCCTAGTGAAATCACAAACAGCAACAAAAAATTTAAAAATAATTGCTGGTTTTAGTTTTGCAACACCCTGTAAAAACTAACTTAAAAAAAAAATAATCATCATATATGTACCTCAACGCGGGTGAAATTTTTTTTTTAAATCTCAAGCTCATAAATGATTTTTTTTTACATGTATGCTCGCTGTGTAACTAACAACGATTGCTTGAAAGAAGCTAATGAAAGTAGATCTCTAAATACAACAATAAGAAAGAGACAAACACTGTTCTTTGGCAACATAATGAGAAGAGAGACATTATAGAACATCGTGACAACTAGAAAGATCAGTGGAAAAAGGGGTAGAGGCATCCCAAGAGAGATGATACTGGATGAGCTGAAACTATGGCATGGAGGGATTGTCACATATCACTCATGTCACGTGCCTGATTTAAGGATTTCTCCTTAAGAACCAACAGCACTCAGAAATAATTATGTTGAGTCGTTTGGCTCGTATTGGTCTAAGGGATGCCCCGTGGCCAATATACGCTCAACTTATTTCTGGAGTAGGGCAACTCAAGTCTTGGCACTACTATATATATATATATATATATATATATATATATATATATATATATATATATATATATATATATATATATATATATATGTATGTATGTATATATAAAATTCCTAGGCACACTTGGCTGGACACCCCCACTACTGTAAAAAGATAGCACCCAGGTTATGATGGTCTACTATCATAACCATGTTAACACATATAACACTTATTATTCATACACACATCAATGCTAACCAATTAGAAAGGTCAAATAGAGACACCTAAGTCAGCCATGAAAATGAATGTATGTAATAAGTAGAAATTATTTACACAAATAGAAGAATAATGTTCCAGAATGTTTATGAAATCAGGACTCAGAGCTACGACTCAGATATTGAAGCAGCCAAATGATCTTGAAATGTACATCAATTCATCAGCGGAAACAGTGGAGCTGTGGGGAATAGAGCATGATACTGAAACAAAACTGTCACTTATCAGAGTTCCTATGTTGATGCTCCCCTCAGTTCATGTTGATTCGACTGTAGTTGACTCTGGTAGCTCTGCCTCAAGTTGATCTGGTCACAGAGGAGTACCTCACCATCGAGGACACAGAAACTGTATAGGGACTCACAAAGTCTCTTCCACAGGTCAGGTCACAAACTGTCTCAGAGCCCAACCAGGCTCCTGAAGACTGGTACACTCGCTCACTGGCACAACCTCTGCAAATGTTCACTCATCCTGGAGCTCACACCCACACTCTGGTCATTTTGAGGTAGTGGTACATAGAGCATGACATTGTTATGTCTGGTACACAAACTGTGGTTAGCTGGTGGTTGGTTGTTGGCTGTTGGTAGGACTGTGATTGCTCTGCCTGCTCTCTACAGAGGTTTCATCCTGTCAGGAAAGAACTCAGAATTAGTAATCACCAAGAGGGTATCATCTTGACAGGAAAGAACTCAGAATTAGTAATCAGTTTCCCTCACCAATCAGCCTACTCCACCTCTGCTCCTCTGTTACATTCCTCAGAGTGTACTCTCAAGACCAGGAGACAATGTCTCCTTTCATTTATCTGTCTGTTTAGTGCAAGAGATGGAAAGTCAGATATATATATATATATATATATATATATATATATATATATATATATATATATATATATATATATATATATATATATATATATATATATATATATATATATAGTGGAGATAGATAGACACTATCACACATATATCATTCTCTCTCCCCCCTCACATCTGCACACAGACACCAATGTTTACAGTCAGTATCCATATATCTTCCGTCTCCTCAGGCCATTCACCACACACCCATTGATCTGTGTCAAACACACTCGAAGCAACGTGCTAGTTGCTGATTAACTGACCTACATTCTCTGTCCCCGTTAATACTGCACAAACTTCTGTTGCTAGGTTAGAAAATAAATACTTGTAGGGTACATTATCTTCACCAATGGTGTGGGTTATTTAGAGCCCAAACTATTTAGTCTGTACAGGGGAAAGTCTATGGTTCGGATCCGGTTCTCTGGACATCAAGAACGGTCGAACTCTGTGCAATCCCATAACCGATACCACTCAATCTACAGCAGTGACCCTTTTAACAAGACATCATTTAAGGTACTCGTAAACTATAATTCACTTACCCAAGCTTAGGAAATGTCCTGGACACTACAGGCAGCCTTCTCAGAATATACATTTATGAGGCGCCGATGAACACATCTGATCTCTAGGAATGCAGGCAGAAGAATGCCCGCTCTAACTTACGCTAGGCGTCAGTAGGAAAGAAGTCCCTTGTATACATGAGCAAGGAGTAAAACGGTTTCTTGGAATATTCAAATAAAACCCTAGAAATCGTCAACCTACAGTTGCAAATTTGAAAATGGCGATAAGTCAAAGCAACTAGAAGGTCTAGAAATTATTATTTTACCCGATAAAGGTATAGATCAATATAAGGGACTATATACCTTTCCAGACGGGTCTAAGTTTGAGATTTTTCTGAGCAGGGGGTGTGCCAGGTCCCGACTCGTCTATTATGTGTAGTGACGGTTCATTCCTTGACAGGGATATCATTAAGAGAGCTGTTTCAGGCAACCAGGGATCGTGATCTGTGGTGAGGCTTGAGGGCCTGCGCCAGTTGGCATGGCACATGATGATGCTTGCTGTACACCGAAGACGTAGGGCGGAACTGAACTGGCTGGCAATCTTAGAGTTAGTGTATCCTCATTGTTGTAGCAAACAGAAACCCAAAAGTGGGAAATGGCTTTGGCACTAACAGATCCTCCCAAATCAAGGATCATTGATGTCTGTTGAAAACTTGTCTTACTGAATGCTAGTAGGTCAAATGTCCATGTTGTGCAGTTCCTACTGAATGAAGAATTGGTGCTTGTGTTTCCTGCGGATTAAAGAAGCAGGGCTATGAAAGAACACTCTGCCAAACCTGCATGTTTCTCACAGTTGAAGCTCATACCCAAAATGTTCACAATTTGCCACTTTAAATAACCTGAGGCATATTTGTGGCAAAAATTGTTTTGGTAGTTACTGAAACAAATTGTTGCTGTTGCATATTTCTGAGTTGAGCCCAGTCAACCACACTTTCTTGGTTTGTAGAGTGCATATATTAAACTGGCCAGCCTTCTGTCACATACCGCTCGTGCCGTGTCCCTGATTTAAGGATTTCTCCTTAAGAACCAACAGCACTCTGAAATAAAATAATGTTGAGGCGTCGGCTCGTATTGGTCTAAGGGATATCTCGTGGCCAATATACGCTCAACTTATTTCAGGAGTAGGGCAACTCAAGTTCTGGCACTACAGAATATCTAATAATCCTAGGCGCAACTTGGCTGGACACCCCCACTACTATAACAAGATAGCCCCCAGGCTATGATAGTATACTATCATAGCCATGTTAACACAGATTACACTTACTAATCACACAAACAGAAAAGCTAGACAGTTTGAACAGTGAATGATGAACACTCAAGTCAATAATGAAATTTTCTGAACATGTAATAAATGCAACACATACATTATATAAGAATCAGCAAAGAACTTCAAGAACCCAGAGGGATATGAAGGACCAAAACTTCAAAACAGATCTGACTGATTGTGTAAGAGATTCCCCAAAAGTCCGCCTAGATCATCATTATGATCATGTGGAGGATTAATAGTGAAGCCTGGCAATAAGATTGACCACACTTATCTGAATCCCTGGCTTCTTGAACTGGCTGGATGCTCAGTCACTCTGTGGTTACGTTGAAGACAGTCCCACACTAGACACTCGAACACTGGAGATACACCCCAGCTCCTGGAGAGGATCTCGGACCAAAGTCAATTACTTGAGGTACAAGCAAGCTACTGGATAAATGATGGTGAAGGTATAACACCCATATTGTTGTCTGTAGACCAACTGGAGGATTCCAGTTAATGGATGACAAAAGTTTGGTTTACAATCTGATGCCCACCACTGGCTTAGACATAGGTGACTTCCCTGTTGGTGGTTTTGTGGACCGCTGATTCACTGCCTGGCCTCCAAGGAGATATCATCCTGAATCAAGAAGGTACTCAGAATTAGCAGTCACCTCAGGGGTTACGTGTCAAGCTCAGTTTATTAACATCCACATTAGTAATCATTCAGAGGACAGCTCTCAGGATAATGAGACAGTATAAGTCTCCAAATATCATCTCTGTCGGTCACTCAGTAACAGGGACAGGAGACGAGTACCAGAGTGGAGACAGATAGACTCTATCAAACATAGAACATCAACTATCCTCGCCCACCCCTGCACTTGTAGATATACATCCCAGCTCTCTCTCCCATATATATTTTATACCTTCCCCAGTCTGCTCATCGCACACACTGTGTTGATGTGTCTGCTAAAATTAACCTCTGACGTCACAGCGTCTTGTATGCTCAAGTGTGACCCAGTTAAATATGTCCGCTAATCGACTTAAACTCGGTTGGTCCGTTACAGAATAATTAACTTGCTAGGTTTAATATATTTATAATGGTATTGGGTCAAGTAGGGCACACACTATCAGCTTGTGAAGGGAAAGGTTGGATTTCATGGGCTTGAGTGTCTGGACACCAAGAACGGCCTAGTTCTTTGCGGTCACACAGCTGAATCTTTCCTCCCTGCAGCATCGGCTAATTTATAGAGATATATATCATGGTACTCGTAAACTATAATAAACTTACCCAAGCTTAGGAATCCTTCAAAGATTAAACTGGTATTTTGAATGCGCCAAGATATAATCAGAGAGGTGAAATGCTTCTGCACACCTAGGAAGTCAGGCAAAGAATGACCCCGCCTGATCTCGCTTGGCGTCTCCAGAAATAAGTCGCCTATTAGTGTGCCAAGGAGTAAAAAGGTTTCCAGGAATTCAGAATATTATTCCAGAAAATATCTATCCCACAGTTGCAAGTTTGAAAATGTAGACTTTTCAAAACATCTAGAGGGTATAGAAATATCTATTCCACCAGATAGAGGTATATATCAATATGAGGGACTATATACCCACCGAACGGGTTTAAATTTGAAATGTGACCTGCCCGCTAGGGGCGTCAACGTCATGAGTCTACTGTGTAGGGTTTGGTTGATTCACTCTGTGACACCTTCTAAGAAAACAGGAAAAGTCGCTGCTCCACATTTCCAAATTGGTGCGTGAACCTGGATGTCAGTCCTCAATATACCACTTCAAAATATTGCTGTTGTATTCTTTTTCAGTCTTGACAGAAATGTTAACTGGATTATTAACCAAATTATTTGCTGTAAAATTAGAACTTGAAATTCATCAGTGTTTTGTATGTTACAAGAAAATCTTTTTTTCTGAATTGATAAATGACCTTACCCCATATTTTGCTGTTGTTTATTCCAAGGATGCTCAGCAGAGTGTGACAGTGGTGCTGTTTCAGAATGAGAATTATTTCATCTCCGCTGGTGCTGGCGATGGGTAAGTAGCCATGTTAGTTTTTTTTTTGCATGTTACAAAAGCTGATAATTCTTAACCTGTTGTCAGTCCCATTGAATGATTTTAAATATTGTATTGCATTTTTCAGCTATGTTTATATATTTTTGCTTTTACAGACTAACATGAATGCCACTTATTCTAATTGTACAGGTGCCTGAAAGTTTGGGATGTCAGAAAGACATACAAGAGAAAAACAGGTGCACAACCTGTGTATACATTTCACTACCCTGGTGCAAACACTCGAAAATTTGGTAAGAATTGAGACGTTTTGTATTTCTCATAGGATGACTGCATTCTGACATGGAGACATTCTGTTAGCAAACATTTACTGGTTAGTATTAGACAACACAAACTCCATTGCTTGTAGCTGCTCAGTAGGAAGCTTTGGATGCTCACATCCTGGCAGATGTTTCAACATTTTACTTCTTGGCATGATTCTCAAATGTTTTTCTCCTGTTGCATTTCCACTTTCAAAGATAAATTATGTTCATTGCTAATTAATCTCAGACAGTTTATTGTAAAGTAGATATATGTTTATTTCCTGTAGTTTTTGTGCTGTAATAATTACTTTGATATTTGTTAACTCATATTGTAGTTTTCTGCTGAACTAATTTTACTACAAAAATTCTTTGCAATTCATTATCACCACTTATTAGTTTTATACATACATATATATGTGTGTGTGTGCGTGCGAGAGATAGATTTTTTAAAAATTAATTCTTCAGGACACCAAAATGTTTAGGGACTTTTTTAAAATTTCCCTACATGTGAATAGTTGAAATTACAAAATGGCATGTCTAAAACTTATCTGCGCCAGGAAAGCAGTGAATAACAGAAGTCCGTGATGGAGTTTTTACTGTTATGTTTTGTGGTTTAACAGTGCTGTTTGTTCTTGCTCACGTAGTTGGGTTTGCTCTGTCTTTCAGGATATTCCAGCTTGGTACTTGACTCACAAGGCAGACGTTTATTTGCAAGCTGCACTGACGATGTCATCTATGAATATGATATGGCGTCATATAACCCTCAACCAGGTATTATTTTCAACTGTCATTTGAAAGTTAAAGAAAAATGAAGAAATTTAAGTAATTATGGCTAACAGTGTAGCAGTTGTACATGAAGAGAAACAGTTGAAATGTTATCATGATTATAGTTGGTGTTATTCCTGTGTGGGTTCCAGGACCCCATTATGGGGGAAAACAAGAATAGACCCACTGCCTCCCCAAAAAGCATGTGGTGCAAATCGACTAATTGCGGGCTACCTTTGAATGAAATTGGAGCGTGTTTACCTGAAATGCAAATGAACCAATATTCTGCATACAAATAAGTCAGATCTGTAAAACCCATGTACATGCAACACTAAGGTTCTGGGATACGACTAAAGTCCAGAAGGTGACAACCAGAATTTTCCGCCGAAGTTTACAGCCGGTGAACGTGAACAAGATGTTAATCTTGAAGCGGTCACATGACAAATTGCTGTTGTCAAGGAATTAAAGGTTAAACCCTCTCATATTCAAGGTCGGTGGCATGTTCAGAAGGCATATTGAATTGGTTTGGCCACTTCTCACAATCACTGATTAACAGTACTCCACAAACTGAAATATTGCCCAGACACAATAAAAGCTATTTAAAACTGTTGGCAGAAGGGTAGAATGCTGATACAACTTACATGATGGTGTCAATGACACATACCAGAGATTGTTCCAGAACACTTCATGTTTTGAGCTGGGAGGTAAGCAGGACCTTAGGTAGCAGTAGAGCTTTGCCAACAGATCTGCATGCGTTTGCCGAACTATCAGAAAGCTTGATTATTGTGATTTAAAAAAATATATATATTTTTTTTTAACTGTAAAAAGAAATAGTGACATGGATAACATATACTAGGTCATATTGTTAAAGAGAGTCACTATTTTTTATGGGTTCTCAGACCAAATGTGGAAGATTTTAGATGAGAGTAGCTGATTGCACATAGTAACTTGTTAGGACAGACATTATAGACTTAAAAACATTCAACAATGAGGAGCAAGTTAATATTTAAAACAGTGAGCAAGTTAATATTTAAAACACTTTTAATAAATAAAAGCCTTTTAGTCATACACACATGAAAGGAAATGTTCTAGTTATTAGAAACTTGGGACTCCATTTTGTTCACTCTTGTACAACTGAAAGGACATTTTCTGGTTATTAGAAGCGTGAGAGTCCAATTTTTTCACTCTTGTACAACTGAAAGGAAGTGTTCTTTTTATTAGAAACTTGAGAGTCCATTTTGTTCACTTTTGTACAACTAAAAGGAAATGTTCTTGTTATTAGAAACTTGAGAGTCCATTTTATTCACTCTTGTACAGCTGAATGGAAATATTCTAGTTATTAGAAACTTGAGAGTCCATTTTGTTTACTCTTGAACTAATGAAAGGAAATGTTCTAGTTATTAGACACTTGAGAGTTCAGTTTCTCTAATCTTGTACAGCTAAATAAAAATTTTCTAGTCATTAGAAACTTGAGAGTTCAGTTTGTCAACTCTTGTACGATTGAAAGAAAATATTTTAGTTAATAAAAACCTGAGAGTTCAATGTATTCAGTCTTATACAACTGGAATAGTTCCTGGTGATTGACTTCTATATTGTTGAAATGTCCTGAGGCAGTAGTTATGCACATGAGTAATTATGTTTTTTATGCTGCATAGTATTTCATGATAGTCAGAAGTGCATGCTACAGTGGTAACACTTATTTGGAAAACTGAACTGTAGGAATTGTGTATCAAGATAGAAAAAGAGGCATCAAATGGTCACTCACCTCTGTTTTAGAGGATTTCGACTATGCAGATGACATCAGCCTTATATCAAGCTGTCATGTGGACGTTCAAGAAAAGATTGAAAGACTTTCAACAACAGCCCTTAAGATAGGACTCAAAAAAAAAAAAAAAAAAAAAAAAAACCAGTAAAACTAAAGTAATGAGAAATAATTACAAAACAGAAAATCCCATTATCTTAAATGATGAAGCAATAGATGAAGTTGAAGAATTTATATACCTCGGAAGTAAAGTTACTCCTGATAGAGATTCTGAAAAGAATTAACATCAAGAATAAACAAAGCAAATCAAGCATTTGCCATGCTTAACAATGTATGGCAGTCAAAGGGTTTTAGTTTGAAGACAAAACTCAGAATATACAAGAGCAACATTTTAGGAATACTATTATGCAACAGTGAATGTTTAAAGGTTACAGTGGGAATTACACATAAACTTGAGACTTTTCAAAATAAATGTTTAAGGAGAATTCTACAAATACTTTGGCCAAACAAGATCACAAATGAAGAACTGAGGAGGAAAACAGAATGTGCATCACTGGCAAATGTTATCAAAGTAAGATGATAGAGATGGCTTGGACATGTTTGCAGAATGCCTTGTGACACCCTGGCAAAAAACAGCTCTCCGGTGGACAGCAGATGGGAAAAGGAGACGTAGACGACCTTGGGGAACCTGGAGAAGGACAATATAATAGAACAGGAAATGAAAGAATGTAAACTGACATGGGATACCATGGGCAGATAAGCAGCAGACCGGCAGCAGTGGAGATCACTTGTGAATGCTTTATGTGTCAACAGCAACATAAAGAGGATGTAGATATAGATAGATGAATTGTGTATATTATACGATTTATTTTTATGATTCATTATATATATTGATGGTCGGCTCTGCGGCTAAGTCAATGCGAACGCTTCGTAATGCCAGGATGCCGGGTTCGATCCCAGCTGTGGGTCATGTGCCGTAGTTGGTTTTGACAGTGGTATCAAAGATGCTGACCGTCCAGAAAGCAATGGCAAACTACTGGATGTAAGCCAGGGACTTTTGGGGTTGGTTCTGCAACATCCTGTAAATGATACGCAACTAACCTTATATATATTGATGACATTTGTATAGAATATCCCTGATGGGATGCGGCCAAATATGTGTCTTCGCTATTTACATTTACAACTGAAATTACTTGGAATATTCAAAGGTGTGTCGCTAGTGTCAGTATTCTGTTCGTGTATGTATATGTAATGACAGTGGGTGCAGTTACTATTTTTTAAATTACATTCACAGTTCAGACTTGGCGAGGCCACAAAAATTCTACTTTTTATGTAAAGTCGGCCATGAGTCCGGATGATCAGTTCCTGATCAGTGGTTCTAGTGATGAGATGGCCTACATTTGGCAGGTATGTCAGCATGGTGCTGCTTTAATAATGTTGTTAAGCTTGAAAGTCTACCTCCATTACAAGAACAATAAATGTGTCTACACAATTGGGTGTGCATCTATTGATTTTTTTTTAAAATAAAGAGCAGTTGGAGCTGAAAAAGGCAGATCATCCTGTTTTATGTGATAAAGGATAAACGCAAGTTGGCCATTACTTGGCATGACACTAAGAGAGTTCACCTGATATCTACTGTTTAGTCCAATGCTGTTTTGGACAAGAAAGTTAGGAAAAGTGAAATTCGTGAGGGCAGAATAATAAATAAGCCAGTTCTTGCAGAAAAATACAACAACAGAATGGGGCTTGTCGATCCCTTTGGCCAGTGGGGTACAAACTACCCCTACCCACCTAGATACTATATACAGTACCTCCCACTATACTATTTATTTATTTTTAGTTGACACTGTTCTGGTCAATGAGCGTATAAGCTCAAACACTGCCAACTCTGTGTATAAGGTCACAGCAAAAAGGTTCAAGCAGTATGTTGGTCTTGCTCTTATTGGACCAGCTGTTCTTCAGCACAATGTAACATCTTCATGACCACACATCACAGCATCGCAACTTACTAAGCACCATTTTTTTTTTATATGGAAGCTAAGGTACAAACCAGACTAAAGTGTGTAAGGCTGCAAGTAAAAGAAGCTAGACTTTCATGTACTGCCTAGATTGCTATATACCTCTATACTTGACACGAACGAACGAACTGTTTCAAGCTATACCACACAGTTGAGGATTATCAAAATTCCCGACAAAGACAGAGAGCTACAGCTTCAACTCCAGTTAATAAAAATAAGTAGCTCAGACTTGGCAAGAGGTGCTTTTATCAAGCATTGATAAATGCTCATTGTAACATGACAAATAAACACAATAAACTAAAAAAAATTCCCACTTTATTCACATTTTATTCACTTTTAATATTGGGATATTTGGTTAATCGTTAAATAATTGCTCCTATTTAGCTAATTTTATTCATTGCCAACCTTGTCCCCAACATTTTTTTGCACTGGCATTCAACAAATTCGCTAAGGACTGGAAAAAGATGATAAATTTATAACATCTCCTGAAATTTCTATAGCTAGCTAAACAGATTTAAGATAGCTGCCATGATCATGTGACACATTTACATAAACTATCTTTTTTCATTTGTATTAACCATTCATAAGTGTACTCTTAAGATTTCAAAACCTGACGCTCGTTTTTGATATTTTTTTTTCTGCAAGTGAATTTTATTAGAATGAAATGGTTTGGTCACCTAATGAGAATGGAACCAACGATGCCAGCATCAAGAGCATACAACATGAAAATCGAAACAACAAGAGGCAGGGGAAGACCAAGAAGAAGATGGATTGAAGGAGTCACGGACAACTTGAGACTTCATAACATCACGGCATATGAAGCGACTGAGCGCGCCCTGGCTCGGTTGCCGATCATCTGATAGACTGCGACGCCTAGCGGCACAAGCAGATTTTGACAAAAGAAGAAAGAAGAAGAAGAATTTTATTAGAAAATCAGTCATTTTTGAAGAAGAAAAAAATCCAAACACCCTTGGTAATGGGAGACAGTAATGCCCCAGATTGCTGGTCAGGAAAGTGTTAATGACCAGCTTGACTTCTGCCTGTCAGTATGAAGGGAACTCGGTTATACATTGAGGATACCCTGTAATGTTTGTGCAGGATGAGATAGCCAGTCTCATACTGTGACAGGGTTGCTATTCTTTGCCTTCTTTTGGAACCCTTCACAGTGGCAATATTTACATGTTTTCTATTCTAAACACTGTCAGTAACATATTGTATGTTATGGGGAAATGAAATACCCTTGAACTACATCTTCAGACCTTGCTTCTTTTAAGATTGTTAAAAGAGACAAATGATGCCGTTTTATGCATGTTGATTTATTTGGTAAATTATGCAGATTTTCCAGCACAAAAATATACTTTACATTTTTAAAAAAATGGTTCTTTATAAATGTCCTACCCTAGATGACGTCACAGGACAGTCTAATATTTTATAGGGTGGTAAGACTGGGTTTACCGGCTTTCTGATGCTTTTAACGGCCCCAAAACATCTAGAACTGGCCCTAAACCCAACACACCTACGTCCCACGAGAGAGTGCAGCCTAGGTCCCACGACTGCGTGCAGCCTATCTATCACCCCCTGAAATATTTGACTGTCCCGTGACCTGTGGATTTCCTGTTTGGGGTAGGATATTAATAAAGCTCCAAAATGTTTTCATCTTCAATTTTCAGATAAACAAACCAGCTGCAGCACCTATAGCTTTGGATTGTCACACTGCAGAAGTCACCAGCGTTGCCTGGTGTCCTAATGACATCACAAAGGTCAGTGAGAATATCTTTTATGTGTCATGTATTCTCCTTGTTTAGAAAACAGTAGTCATAGGCTAGATACTATAATATAATCGAGGTTATCAGTCTTTTAATTATACTAAGGGCTACTTTTCCTTATTTATCTTATCTCCCTGTGGCATTTTTTAAAAATAAAAGCATTTATGAAGAAACTTGGTGCAGTCAAGACAATTCTGGTGACTACACGGTAATCCCTCTCCACATAATTCTCTGATCTATAGACTGTTTTTTTAAATTTGAATTTCTAAAGTTCCACATTGCTTTGATCAGCACGAACATAACTTGGCAGCCATTTTGTTATCAGGATATATTTTGCAACTCGGTCAAAATACAATATTTTTTGTTTTGCTTGAAACCACTCCAAAGCAGATGAGTGAAATACATGTGTGTTATTGAAAAAACAAAGAGCTGAATGGACTGTTCAAAGTTGCTAATCATGTAGTAAATAAAGTTGATTAACATCTGAAGCAGAGATTGGAACTAGCACATTTCTATATTGGCTCATCTAATGAATTTAAGTTTAAAAAAAAAGTGAATTTCTCTCAATCCTACTGAATTATTATGAATGTTGTCCTTAGTTGTCTAATAGTTCAGTGTACAAATATTAATTTCATCGTGTCTGTTTAGAGCAAAGCTGCTTTATTCTTTTTTGTTTATATAGACAGTTTGGCTTTTTACCCTAGCATTTGTTATCTGGGTTATTTTTTTCCCCCAGAACCATGCAGGTAATAGTAAATAATGAACATATAGTTTTTCAGCAATACTTTAAATACAATGAGGTATTTCACCCATTGCTTCTGTCTTGTTTTATTCGTTCAGATTGTAACTTTATCGGATGATGCAAAAACCAAGTTCTGGCGTATTTTCTGTCGAGAACTCCAGAAACAGTATTTACCTTCTTACCTTGGACAAGCTAAAAGCACATCTAAAGTATCAGGTAATTTGTTATTGGGGTGCATTTGATCAAATATATTTATTCATACACACACATCATGAGCTTATTGGTCACATATTCTAATCCTTAAAGAGGTGCAGCTTCTATTTCATTGACCTGGCTGGCCAAACTAAAATGGATGTCTGGAGGTTTTATAGGAAATAAAGTTGCCAGAATGATATCGACATATCAACCACCAAGTACTGGTTGGTCTAAATATGTGAGACTAGCATAAAATACCCATTATATTTTATTTTGTAAATGAAAGTCTTTTACTTTGCATTTTGAATAAGGTTCGACACTTTAATGACCAACTTCGAGGATCTGCAAATTTCTGGTCATATCCCTTGGTGACCAGCTTTGACAATCTGTGAATTCAGGACAGACAGCCTTACCTATAATTTTTTACTTCAGCTTTATCCGGGTATTTTTATTATTCCACAATGGCTATGCCCATGTCGATATCGCTTTGAGCCGATACAAGCTTTATTTTCAGTGAAATTTTAATAATTTTCGGTTACCAGCGCATATTTAGCTTTTTTTGTTTTGTCTGATGGCGAAAACCAGACCAGTAGTATTTACGATTAGGAATCGGGTAGCGAATGTAGTGCTGATAAATAGAGATCATCTGTGAATGTAATCTTCATATCACAACTGGAAGTAGCAACAACGATGAAAGACTTAATAACAGAGGTGATGTAGGTACATCTGAAGAAAGAAGTGGGCATAGCAGAAGAGACCAGAACATTTCTACAGCTGAAAGTGCTGTTTGTAAATGGAGAAAGGCTACTAAAAATGAACTTGTTGAGCTTGACAATCTTCCTCCATATGAAGAACAACAAGGTGCCAAGTAGGACACATTTGGGCGTGTGCCGATTGATTTTTTTAAAAAAAGAAAAAGCAATTGCAGCTTTAAAAAAGAACCGGGCAGATCATCCTGTTTTATGTGACAAAAGATAAAGGCATGTTGGCCATTACCTGACATGATACTAAGAGTTCACCTGATATCTACTGTTTAGTCATTTGATGTTATGGACAAGAAAGTTAGGAAAAGTGGAATTCGTGGGGGCAGAATAATAAACAAGCCAGTTCGCGCGAAAAATACCATAACAGTGTGGGAGTTGTCAATCGCTTTGGAAATCTGGGTGCAATACCCCTACTCACCTAGATCCCATAAATTGTACCTGCCATTTTATTATTTATATTGACACTGAGCATATAAGCTACAAAACTGCCAGCTCTGAATAAGATCACAGCAAAGAGGTTCAGGCAGGATGTCAGTCTTTCTCCTATTGGACCTCTTGTTCTTCGGCACAATGTAACACCTTCAAGACCACACATCACAGCATCACCACTTACTGAGTACCACATTTTTTGTGAAAAATATGAAAGCCCAGGTATAAACCAGACTGTGAAGTGTGTAAGGCTGCAGGTAAAAGAAGCTAGACTTGCATATATTGCCCAGATTGCAGTTCATCTCTATACTTGACGCACTGTTTTAATGAAGAAAGTAGCTCAGACATCAACTAGAGGTGCTTTTATAATCAAGCATTAACAAATGCTCATTTTAACATGACAAATAAACACAATAAAAGAAAAAGATTTTTATTCACATTTTGATTTGTTTTTGATGTTGAAATATTTGGTCAGTCGTTAAATAATTGCTCCTATTTGGCTAATTTAACTTATCGGCAACCTTGTCCCAACATTTTATTGCACTGGCACTGAAAGTGGAAAAAGATGATGGTTTTAAAACATCTCCTGAAATTTCTATAAAAAGCCAACCAAATTCAAGATGGCTACCATCATCATGTGACATTTTTGCATTTCTTTTTTTCATGTGTAACAACCATTCATAATGGCGCTCTGGAGGTTTCAAAATCACACACTCATTTTTGATTTTTTAAATAATTTTATTAGAAAAACCAGTCATTTTGAATAAAATTTTCAAACACCTTTGACAATGAGAGACAGTAATGCCCCGGATTGCTGGTCAGGAAAGTGTCAAACCAATAAGGCATTGAACACAATTTTACTATGATCAGCACAATTTGTAGTTTAATTATTAAAACAATAAAGATATTTTTTAACATGGAGTGGCTTGGAGGCGCAGCATTTCAAGTTTCATTACTAGGTTATCTCTTACAGGACATTGTAAAACCAAGCCTAACAATTAAGGCTGTTTGTGATTTCACCAGGCAGTTATACGTTAATTAGTTTGCTTTTGCTTTTGAATGGTCAGAATTACAAGATGTTTTTGCAATGCCTAAACCACCCAAGAATATTGTCTACATTCTTGATTATTGAATAATGCATCAAACATCTAGCCTTCTAAGATCAGAGTGAAAAAACTAAAGGGATCCATGTGTCTGTGTACGGAAGACATTAAAAATCTCTTGGCTTTTTTGTTTGTTTTGAAGGCCCTGATTGATTTTTTTGAGGTAAATTTCAGTGTCTTTTATTACTATGTTTAATTATTCTAAAATATTTATTTTGAAATCAATGGTAATAGATTTTGTTTTAAATACCCACAGAAATATCCAGAGTTACTGAAGATGAGATACCTGCAAATTCTACCCCTAATTCACCAAATCTGTCAGTGCCTAAAAAAGTGTTGCTGCAGAAATCTGTCTCTGGCTCTCCTCAGTCGTGTATTCAGACATGGCTGAAACGCAAGGCACCACATGTAGAAACTGATCAAGAAGTAGTGGCTGAGAAATACGTCTGTAAAAATGATCATACGGCAAGGTCTAGCACTTCATTAGCAGACAGTGTGCTTGTGAAAGCTGAGAAGGAGGTTGCTAGCAAATCATTGCTTGCAGCTAATATGAGCATAATGGGATTGACTGGTTGTTGTGATAGTACAGCCAGTATAACAAATATGTCTACACCAGGCAAAGACGCATCTTCAGATAGTGCCTCTTCATCATCATCATCAAAAAAAGCGTTCATTTGATGAATCTGAAGGTCTGATACCTCCTGACTTGAGTGTTGTTCCTGTTACAACTTGCAGAGGTAGCTGTAAAGATGAACACACAGAAACAGTGTCAGCAGAAAACATTTCATCAAAAAGACTCAAAGTGGAACACACAAGGATGAACTCTGTGGAAGATGATGTCACCAAACAAAACCACCAAGCTCAGACCAACCAAGGAAGCTGTATAGGAAGTTCTCATACCTCCCTGTCAAAGACAAACTCGAGCAGCTCAATAAAATCTCCACAGAAATCACCTTCAAAGTCTAGAAAACCTGTTAGACAAGAAGATTCAGAAAATGTGTCCCCTGTCAAGTTAAAACGGATGTTGAATTCTGCAGAATCTCCTGTATCCCCAAAACGGCCATGTTTGACAAACTTGGACTCAAACTGTCATCAAGCAAATCTTTCTAGTGTTAGAATATCTCTGTTCGCTGACGATAAACTGCAGGACAATGATCATGCCCAGCAGAGTACAGATAAGCCAGTTCCTGTGTGGAAAAGTCATGAAACTGATGTCAGATTTGATGCTGACACCAAAACTGAATGTGATGCCCAAGAGTATTCAGCTGCCTGTTCTCAGGTAGAGACTGGAGAAACATGTCGTGCCTCCTATATAACACCCTCCAAAGAAAAACGCTGTGGTGCTGAAAATGTTCTTTATAAGGAAGCATTAAACAGCCCAAAAGAACAAAACACAGAAGATGCTGATTTTAATTCTCCAACTAGGAATCTGCCCAACTTGGTAATGGATGAACCTCAGTTGTATGTTTCTACCACTCCAAAGTCAGGTCGAAACAAGAGGCATAATTGGTTAACACAGATCAGACTGGAGAAAATGAAGAAATCTTCACAAATAGTGCCAGTACCAACAAGTCAGGGAAAATTGTCCCCAAAGGTAAGTGTTTTTGTATAACTTTAAAATGGTGGATTATTTTTAAATTGTGTACCGACTAAAAGTCTGTGCCTATAACTTAGGTGTTGTGAACGTGCTTGGTAATGCCGGTTGACGAGTTCGATCCCAGCTGCTGGCGCCATATGATTTGCAGAGCGTCTTGCGTTGGTTGTGACATTGTTACCTAGAGCTGACTGTTCTGCAAGCATTGGCAAACTACTGAATGTAAATTGTGCCTAGAAAAACTGCAACAGCCAACAAATTTTGGGGATGGTTCTGCAGTGTCCTCTAAAGGATATGCAACAAACTTTTTAATCCTCTAAACATTGGTCCATGAAATCCTGGTCATTTCTTAGAAAAACCGTTATAAAAATATTTTATACAGGTCACAAATAAATTGGTTACAAATTTATTTATATAATGTAAAATTTTTATTTTTAGAAATATTTATACAAATATATAAGGGAAGTAATCAGTAAACAAAAACAAAGTGAAGCATTTATTGCAGTGCCTTCCCCAGATGCCTAAAGAATATGTATAAGGTGTTTCATCCTGTGACTTCCAGCATTGAAAAAATATTGACGGCTTCTCTGACAACAGGGTTAAGTATACAGAAGCACTTGTTAGTGTTTCCATATCATCTCATCACTTTGTCCACCTCGCTGATTGAACTTTTAAAACATAACATTGGTTGGCATTATCTTAAGTTAACAGTTTTCTTCAAATATCTGCAATTCCTTCAGTCTACCTGTATCTTTCTTTTGTATAGTTTTTTTGCAGTCTGTTTTCAGATACCTAATTAATTTGCCCTTATATTATCGTGTTAATATGCTATAAGAAATATGATTTTGAAAATGTTTTCTATGTCTGTGGAGGGGGGGGGGGGGGGGGGGGGGGGGGGGTTGTTAGACTCACTGCGTCCATTCTTATGATTTACCTCAGTTTTCCAGATACACTTTTGTGGTTTTATCATAAAATTTCATCTGTGAATTTTTTTTTAATTGCAACTTTATTTATTTATTTACTTGGATGGCTTTATTGTGTATATCAGGATCACATTGAGTTTGTAAATTGTTTAATTTTGCATTATTATTAAAATTATTATTATTATTGCAGGTAACCAAAGGCATGAGGAAAATTAATTCCTACTTCAAGTGATTATCAATGTGCTGCTCGACAGCGTAGCCTTTGTTGCTTTCCATCTCCTGCATTGTGGAAAGGATTTTAGAGTTAAAACAGGGACTTCTGTATTGCCTTAGGTCAATTAATGTTTGCAAATATCTGAAACCTCACGACACACACACAGTCTGTTGTCACTTCTGATGTATGTTAACTGAGTTTGTTTGAGAACTGAAAGTGTAATAAACATATCTTTCTTGAATAAAACAGACTACACAAATCCGAATAAGACAGTCTACTTTCTGGAAGAAGAAAAAAACTGGAGCACTTTGTCACAGTAAGAAATTTGGAAGAGAAGAGGCCGAGCTATCCAAGGGAAACTATTCAGGACAGCATGGTATGGAGGATCAATTGTATACAATATTATTGAAAGTGCATGAGAGAGAATGCTATGGAAAGACATGTCTGACTATGCCATACAGCTTGGACTAGAAGATGTTTAATTTATATACATTGTACTGGATTGTCCTTTTCTCCAGCTTTTATTTTAATGAACTTTGATTTGGAGCAGACAAGACCTGACACCTCCTCATTGATGTTCTTACTGCTCGCCATCAGAACGATAATAAACTGTCGATTTAATAAGTGTATATATGTGTGTGTGTTCTCAGTGGAGATAAGGCTTGTTTTATTGTATACTTGCTATTTGCTATTTCTAGCACCTTAGTACACCGTGGAAACTTGTCTGGTATGTTGTAGCCTGTTGAACTAATAAAACTTAAAGTGTAAAAAAAAAAAGCTTAAAATTTGTTACAAATTGCATTTCACCTTACATGTCTTCATTGTGTTTATATTACAGTAACAGATTAATAAGATTGCATCTGCCTTGTGCAGTTGCAGTACACCCCAAAATGGGGCCAATCCAGCCAGTCTATCTGCCTGCTCATTCCAAAACCCACCCGAATAGCCAGGACAAAATACATGTGACTGCAACCTCTCAATTTATATGACTCATTCCATTAGAAGAAAACCTGCCTCCCCCCCTCCTGAGTATGCTTTAGCGAATCTGATCTATTAAATCCTGGACAGTGCATAAAAAAGCCAGTTTATAGATTCCTTGGAGATGTGGTTTTACAGTAACAGAACAATCCTGAGAATCCCTTGGACAGCCAAAAAGAGCAACCCAGAATTTTTGAAGGAGAGAAGACTTAAAGTCATCTCATCACAAATATCCTGAAAGACAGAGACGTTTTAGTAGTGTTATGAAAATAAAGAGACCGGAACATGTTATGACCACTGGAAAGATCCGTGGCAAAAGAGAGAGAAGAAGACAACGTGAAACGATTCCTGACAGCCTTTTGACAATGTATGGAGGGGTGTCAACACATAAATTGATACATGTAGTTGAAGATTGCAGATTATGGAGAGGCATGATCGCCCATGCCATCTGGCAAGGCACTTACTGACGATGATGATGATGAGACTGTCCTTCAGACGGATGTTATGATCTAAGCTTCACCGTGTCTGTTGTCAGTGTCTGTGTATTCCTAGTATCTGAGCCTATATGTGTGTCGACCATCACCCTGCCATCATAAAACTGGTGCCTTGTGATACATTTGCTTACTACATCATTTTTCTGACTTGCTATAGTATCTTTAACACCTCTACACCCCTGGGCAGAAGAGGAGCAACTAAGTAAGTATAGTATCTTGAACATGCGTCGCTGCTTTAGATTTCCAAATCCTGTACTGCATTTGTGTACCAGCAGATTGTGTCTGTCAAGCTTTTTCTTCTTAACATTCACCAGCTGTAAACTCCTGCAGAAAGTTCTGGTTGTTTTCCACTTCTGGACCTTGGCCTTGTTCCAGAAATGGAGCTTTTGCATGCACATCCATTTTTACAGATTAGGCTTTTTTGTATGCAAATTGTTGGTTCCTCGCCTCTATGGCAGATGCACTCTGAGGAAAACACCTTATTAGTCGCCTTTGAATTCATACCTTTTTTTTAAGTCAGTCAATGCTAAGAAGAAAAAACAAAGGTAAACGATTTGCTTCACTACTTTTTCAAATACCAGAAAAGGCTGACTATATGTATAGCTATCTCTTATATAGCTATATCTTACTGCGAATTTTTTTTTAAAACTAAAACAACCAGAGAACCTCCACAGTCATAAGACTGACTTCATGCCTAGAGAAAACTCAGCAGGATTTGGATCAACAACGATAGGTGGATTCATTCATTCATTCAGTAGCATGTCCCTCGCGGAACCTCGCTGCCATAACAACCCTCCGGAAAACCTTCCTATCATGAGCAAGATGTCCTGCGTCTGATACACCCATCTGGAGATCATCTGCCACATCCTGCACCCATCTTCTCCTTGGCCTTCCTCTTACTCTCTTCCCAGGCATATACCCCTCCATTATTGTTCTCTCTAGACTTCCATGACGTTTCAAGTGACCAAAATATTTCAATTTTCTTTGTTTTATTGTCTTTACTAGCCAACCCTCTTCAATATTCAGCTCTTGAAGTATAGATGCATTTGTTCGACCCAGAAATACCACAGATTTCACCAGTGCTCTTCAGTTTACTTTAGATGTAAGCACAATTTCAGAACTAGAAGCTCCAGGTTTTGGTAGGACACTGACATGTACAGATGATATGCTTACACTAAAAGTAGGGTAACAATACACAGATTAGCAGTGGGTCCCGCTATACCAAGAGCAATGCCTATCATAGTAAAGTAGTGTCCCTAATACTATCTGAGACAGAGAATGAACTAACAAAGATTGAAGTAATGGATTCTATAATAAGTACAGCTTTTAGATCTATTCAAAAACAAAATAAATACAAAGGGAATCCAATATTACACATTTTTGTCATGGCTGTCAATATATTCACTGACACATGCTGTTGGAGATAACAAGCTCTGGAAATGCATGATCGCCCACGCCAGTCAGCAAATAATTGGAGGATGCTGCAGTCGAGAAAAAGGGCCTTGGAGCCTCCCACCCCGAAAAATTGTAAGGATGTGACAAAAACAGGTTGGGATTTGTAAGGTGGCAATATTAACAACCTATGCATGGTAATTTGAATAGTTAGCACCTCAATATTATTATTAACATTATTATTAACATTTTTATTATTACTACTACTACTACTACTACTACTACTACTACTACTACTACTACTACTACTACTACTACTACTACTACTACTACTACTACTACTACTACTATTATTATTATTAATATTGTTATTTTCCCGTGTAGGATCCGGAGCCCCATTGTGGGGAAAACAAGAATAGACCCACTGCCTCCCCAAGAAGCATGTCGTAAGAGTCGGCTAACTAGGGCTTCCTTTGAAGTTGGAGTGCATCTGCCGCAAGGAACCAACAATCTGTTTACAGATAAGTCAGTTGTGTGAAATGGATGTGCACGCAACACTCAGGTTCTGGAACATGACTAAAGTCCAGAGATAGACATATACCCAGAACTTTCCACCGGAGTTTACAGCCAGTAAACGCGAAGAAGAAGAAGAACTTTATTGTGTCACCAACGGTAAAAGCAGGCAGGATTCGTTCAGAGAACCATGCACTGCTTCGAATGTAGATTCTGGCTGGGTAAACGTCCTTTGGGTCTTCTGTCGGGGGCAGGCTAAATATTTTGAGATACACAACAGGAGATAATACATCACCACGATCTGGAAAGCATGTTTTAAAGTACTAGTAACAGCAGTAGCAGTATCAGAAAATAACAGCAACAGCAGTAGTAGTAGCGGCAGCATCAGCAGCGGTTCTTGCAGAATAATTGTAGTAGCAGCTGCAGCAGTGGTAGTGGTAGTAGCAGCACAAGCTGCGACGTCAGCAGCAACAGCAGCAGACTCGGTCTCTGACAAGATTTTGTGCGAGCAAAAGGGTTCAAAATGCTTTTTTTTTTCTACCAAGGGACGTAACCTCACCACTTATAATTATGTTATTCTGTAAAAGCTTTGAACTAAATTTTCAAAGAACAGTTTAAACAATGCGGTCTTTAATTCTTCAGTATGAAGCGTAAGTTTTTCGGCATGATGCATTTAAGAGTGACGTAAAATCTCAAACTTGATAGATACCTACTTGCAACGCATTGAACAAGTGTTACGCATTTTACGCCATGAGTCTTGCAGTTGACAAGCTGTAACGATAATAATTTTTTTAAAGCAGGGTTTGGCGCTTCTTCAGACTTTTTCTCGAAGAGGGGATGTAGCTCGCAGAAGCTGCACCCCTTATGTTTTCCTTAATAAATTGATTAGTGCGGATGTCAAAGAAAGACCACACAGGTTACACTGAAATAATAGTAAGTGTTTATTTCCTGCTCACTGGACGAAAGAAGTTGAACTTGGATGACACATTTTCCTTTCTAGCTAGGACGCAATTGTTTGTTATTTTAAAGGCCCACCCGGCTGTGGCAGAGGGTCCTAAATATAATCTGTGGGGTAGCAGTCGAGTATTGCACCAGACGACAAAGTGGGCCTGTGTGAAAGGTTTTGTCTTTGCTAAAACTTTCCATAACTTTAAAAAAGAAAGGAATGAGCGCTGAAGGAGACGTCATCGGGCCTGATGGACAGCCAGTCTCAAAGAAGGCATTGTGGCGCGGTGATTTATGTCACAGGCGTGAGGGGAAGTTAAGTCCAACATGATGTGTATAAGGAGATACTCCGTACGTCACTCGGGCGCCAGTCCTTCACTATCCTGGTTGTATGGAACCTCACGCAAGACAACTACAGCACGTCCTCGTCGTGCGCCACGGATAATGTCTCAAATGAGCATTAACAGAGCTGTCAGGGGATCTCGGAGTTTGGCGGCACCCAGAGGTGATGTGTCCTTGTGGCTCTCATCAGCCCGCCCCCAAACGCTTGGGTGAAAAATGTTATCAAAACTCATTAGGAACATGAGTAGGTTTGCCAAACGTACAGCCAAAATTACAACCCTTGGTTAAAAGACTGCGGAGTAAAGAGAACATTGTTCACTGCACATCCTCGGTTAACCCTCAGTGTCGTCGTCACCGCGCTGAGGTACACCACAACAGCAACCATCCATAGGCTGGCCATTCACGTACATCCTCGGTTAACCCTCAGTGTCGTCGTCACCGCGCTGTGGTACACCACAACAGCAACCATCCATCGGATGGCTAAGCCTAAATGTCCGACAAAAATAGATCATACGGATCAAAATCTGACCATCAAAATTTGCACTGAACTGAAAAAGACCGAATGTCCACACCCGAGTGTTGGGACAAAACTGATAACGATATGCCTGATTCAGGATGTAAAATTCTGTCGGGCTAACGGCTCTTCAAAGAAATCTAACGTGCGAAGAAAAAAAAAAAAAAGAATGTACCTATCTGTGTGGTCACAAAAGTCCAAAACCCACGGGCTGCTCCCCGCTGACTTCCAGAGGACGCAGCCCCTGTCGAGCGGGAGGCCTGATACGGCTGTGAGGTTAAGCAGGCATGTGCAGGACGTGACGATTCCTTGGGTGAGCCCAGAACCAGAGCGCCATGTGCCGGCTCTGCATGCATGGAAGCCTCCTTGGATGGCGCGGAATGCCCATGATCTGCCCCTGCCTTCCCTTGAGGGCTAACTGTTCCACAGGGGGCTGCCCCAAAGGGGTACTCCGGGGGCAATACCTGCGGCGAAGGAGACAAAGTGGACACCACACAAATCAGGCAACGTCTCGACCCACACAAAACAATGGCTACAGTCACCCTAGAAATAGGCCTGACGTCTTCCTTCGAAGTCGGCGTACAGCTGCCCATGAGGCAGGGAAATGAAAAACGGTTGTACACGCAAAAATCAGGTCCAGGTGAAAGCCAAAAGTCCAAGCGGACGATTAACCGGGACCTTCCACTGGAATTCACAGCCGGTGTTCGATGAAAAAAAAAGAAGGCATTGAAAAAGCAACAGAAGGATGCTGAGAAAGCAGCAAAGAAAGCTCAGCACAAGAAACAAAATGTGCAGGAGGCCGACAGTGCCAACCAATCAAATGGTCGTTATGGTAACCTACCTCTCAGCCAGTCACAAGACAGGACACAGCGCCGTTTGTACAAAGTATGTGAGCTGGAGCCGTCTCTTGCTGGGCAGTCTGTGTGGGTCAGGGGAAGATCTCACACGTGTCGTAGTAAAGGCACAATGCTTCTTCGTGATCAGGCAGCAGAAATGGACAGTACAGGTTGTTGTCATACAGAGTGAGAATATCAGCAAACAGGTGCTCAAATTCATTTCCAGCGTCTCAGCTGAGTCCATCATTGATGTTGAGGGTGTGCTACAGACTGTGGGTCAGAAAATCCAGTCATGTTCACAGCAAGATGTAGAGCTGCATATTCAGCAGATCTGGGTTGTCAGTGCAGCAGAACCAAGACTGCCACTGCTGATAGACGATGCAAGTCGGCCAGAAACTGAAGATGGACTTGCCACTGTGAACCAGGATACACGTCTAGACAATAGAGTTCTTGACCTCAGGACAGTGACAAACCAGTCTATATTTAGACTGGAAGCTGGGGTTTGCAGATTATTTAGAGACTGACTGAAAAGGGATTTGTAGAAATTCACACACCAAAAATTATACCAGCTGTATCCGAGGGTGGAGCCAATGTGTTTGAGGTGACTTTCTTCAAGACGAAGGCCTACTTGGCACAGTCTCCCCAGCTGTACAAGCAGATGTCTGTGTGTGCTGAGTTTGACAGGGTCTATACCACAGGCTAGTGTTTCGCGCTGAAGACTCCAACACTCATCGTCACCTGACAGAGTTTATAGGTCTTGACCTGGAGATGGCCTTCAACTACCATTACCATGAGGTGCTGGAGGTCATAGGTGACATGTTTGTCGCTATCTTCAAAGGATTGCAGCAGCAATACTCAGAGGAGATCAGTCTAGTCAACAAGCAGTATCCCTCAGAGCCATTCAAGTTTCTAGAACCTAGATTGGTCCTAAACTACAAAGATGGTGTAGACATGCTGAGAGAGGTCGGCGTTGAGATGGATGATGAAGATGATCTGTTGACCCCCCATGAGAAGCTCCTGGGAAAGTTCCTCAAAGCTAAGTATGACACTGAATTCTTCATCTTGGACAAGTATCCACTGGCGGTGAGGCCGTTCTACACAATGCCGGACCCATTCAATGCAAAATGGTCCAACTCCTATGACATGTTCATGGGCGGAGAGGAGATTCTCTCGGGAGCTCAGCGAATCCATGATCCAGAGTTATTGTCCAAGCGAGCCCTGGAACATGGCTGTCAGCTGGATAAGATCAAAGGCTACATCGACAGTTTCAGATATGGTTGCTCCGCCTCACGCTGGTGGAGGTATAGGTCTGGAACGAGTGACTATGTTGTACCTGGGTCTGGACAATGTGAAAAAGACATCATTGTTCCCTCGTGACCCTAAGAGACTGACACCATAAACATCTCCCTAGATTCAGTGTTTCTTCAGCCATTAGTTATCAGGAAATAGCAACCTTCTTATCACAAGACAGTAATGGCACATATTAGTGCTTATAAAAACAAAGGAATACAAAAAAGATAAAGGGAGGGGGGGGGACGAATCATATCATGTAGTAGGTCCATTGCAGAATGTCACTGTTATCAGGGTCTGCCTGAAAGAAGCTTGGTCTCTTGCCAGCTGTCTTGCCTCGTACACTTTCCTACCCAAGGTGTCACTTATATCCTGTGTCCATCTCTGTGCCGGCCAGCCCCTGTACCCTGATATTATCTCAGATCAATACAATACATGAGAAATAAGATCAGATTATTTTGCTTTCACTATTGCTCCTTTTCTGTTATCTTAACTGTCTACATTTACCATTTTTCGGGTGGCTTTGTGGAGGAAGGAGAGTGCGGGTACAGGTTTTTCCTCCCCCCTTCCCGACAGAAAATCTACATCTCTTCAGGAGGTTCAAACCTAGGTATCATGCATTAGGGCTCAGGGGCCTAACCACTATTCTTTAGCATTATGTTGGACTTTTTGTCGATTTTAGTGAGCGCTGAAATGAGTAATCTTTATTCCCCCATCCCGCACAGGCAAGCTGGGGCTGAAAACATGCATGTGTATTCAAACATAGCATGATTTTTGCTTATAAGCTTTCTCTGAGTACTGATTGTGTACATCATGGTACCAGGAAGGAGCATTTTTGTGTGTTTTGTTTTGGAACATTATAATAATGAATGACAAGGAAAGTCACAGGCGATTCTCTGTGTTTACAGACAGACAGATAGAGGGAATATCTAGATATAAGTGCTCCTTAAGACCAGAGTGCCTCAGTTCAAATATCAGAACCATTAACGGTGACTCTTTTTGTATGCTTCTAATGGAGCAAAGTTTTAAGATTAGGCAGGTGTTGATACTATCAGTAGAATAGTAAATGTTTACAACTTTTTAGTAACTGTTAAACACATGTTGAAACTTGGGTATAAAATGATATATAGTTGTGGGAAATAAAGGTGGCAGGCGTGATAGGGACCCATCTGTATTTGTGGTCTATAAAAATGAGTTTTAGCATCATATGCCCGGAGGCATGACTAGGCTGTGTATGGATAGCCACATACATACAGTAGAGGTAAAAGTTGGTGATTTTGTGTGTATGTTTGTGTGGCTTTTTATGAAGCATCTGCGGCTTAGGTATCTGTAGCCAAGGTACCTGGTTTGAGTGCAGCTGCAATTTGGCAGCAGACCACCTTCTGCTGATTTCAACACTGGTGTTGAGAGCGGACTTTTCAGAAAGCAACTACCGAACATAAAAGTGCCTAGCAAAATCTGAGCAGCTAACAAACCTGGGGTTGGTTCTGAAGTGTCCCCCTGTCAAAGGTATGCAAGTAACATTTTAAACCCATGTATGTTTTATATGAGATTGTGAGAAATTGAAGGTGGAAAGGAGGCAGTAGAAAACTGGACATGGGCTGTCAGGGAGAGATTGTAAAAAAGGCATAGACAGTAACGGAGATGGAAGAACATAGACAGTAAGGGAGATGGAAGAACATGGACAGTAAGGGAGATGGAAGAACATAGACAGTAAGGGAGATGGAAGAACATGGACAGTAAGGGAGATGGAAGAACATGGACAGTAAGGGAGATGGAAGAACATAGACAGTAAGGGAGATGGAAGAACATGGACAGTAAGGGAGATGGAAGAACATAGACAGTAAGCGAGATGGAAGAACATGAACAGTAAGGGAGATGGAAGAACATGGACAGTAAGGGAGATGGAAGAACATGGACAGTAAGAGATATATTAGGTCATTATATTAGAGATTGTAGGTGTAAAAGGTGTTCCAGTAAGGAAATGAGTGAACAGATTATGGGGGAGGGGGGTGTTGGACAAGTAATGAAATAGTTTCCCAACTGCATAAGAGGATGCAGAAGTATATAATCAGCCATTCAACATGCACTGCCTGTCATCATGTGATTCCATGCTTAAAGAAATAAATATTTCCTATATCTGTCACCCCAAAAAATATATATATAATCTGTGGGTTGAACGGGGTTTAGGTCTTGTGCCCTGGTGATTTTCGTCCGAATGGTGGACCGGGTATTTTGTCGCTCGTTGTGGGGTCCTGGTGTAGTTGAACGTCGGTCGGTCAGTCAGTAGCTCACCTCTTTCAGGATTATCACTCTAAAAACAATACTGTTTGCCAAGATGTTATAGAAGGTTATTGCTGCTAAACTGCAATGGTCAAAGACAGCCACTTTTGTTTCAAATTATTATGAAGGTTATCAGAATGGATAAGAGACAGTGTTTGCAGCACTTGATCTTGGGGATGCCTACAATAGAGTTAGATACGATATTTCGATGTCTGCTCTTATGGAAAATAGGGTCTGTCCCTGGCTGGTCAACAAGATCAGCTCTTCTGCAGCTACTTAAGTTTCTTTCTTGGCACTGGACCTCTTATAATATCGTCACAGAAATACCACAGATTTCACCGGTGCTCTTCAGTTTACCTTAGATATAAGCAAGATTTCAGAACTAGAAGCTCCATGTTTTGATAGGACACTGACATGTACAGATGATATGCTTACACTATAGGTAGGGTGAAATACACAGATTAGCAGTGGTTCCCAGTCAACGGACCCATGCCTTGAGACGGAAAGGAAGCGTTTTCCACCACTGGAGGCCCTAAAGAAGTTGACAAGTTAACTAGATAATAGGCATTTAATACATATATGTGATTGTTTGACTCAAGTGTACATCAAGTCCTTAGCAACAAAGGCAGGAAGCTTTCTGCATAACACATGAATAAGTTTTTTGGACAGTGCTTACTTCCTGCTTTTGAAATGAAGTAAACTAAAGGGCCAGAGAGATCCAGAGAAGTAGATATCAGGGAATGGAGCATATTGTCTGTGACCACCTGGGAGTCTCCAAAGTGGTAACTCCTTTGTCCTGGAACCCATTGTTTTATATATAAGCACTCTACAGTCAAGACCACTATGCACGATCAGAAAGTCACTCAACACAATGAATCTTGAGGAGACAACCTCAGTTTTGATTTTAAAACCAAACCTAAAGTGGACCTGAGTGTACCTATTGGCTAAATGACTTTGGGGTATGCATTCTCGGGTGTGGATATCTGGTTAGCGGTAAGGATGGCACTACACACAAGACTTATCTGGGATATCAAATGTCTCCTCCCTAGCAAGCAAGCTAGGGTTACCGTTTAATTTATTCTCTGAAAAGAACTTTCATATGGATGCTATACCAACAGCAGATATTGCTGGATAAGCCAGACTGACATGTGGGAACAAGTCATACAAAGTAGTGCTGCTAACATGTATCTTAGAACTTATTGGTGATTGGCACCTTTCCGTCTTTACAGACGATAGTGTTATATTGCGCCATGAGGAGGTATGAGACTCACAGTCCATGGCGATGGCGAGTATGACTAGCAAGACCTGCCCTTGTGAAGAAAAGTCTTCCACAATGATAGCATGGGATTTCAGGACCATTTTTGTCAACACTTGTGTTTAATCCGATTCTTTTCAAACGCTCAGCTCTCATCCTTTCTGCAATCATTTCTTCCTTCACTCTCATTCCCTTCCTGATATGCCCTTTCCACACAACACGGTCCATGGCATTTTGTTCCCATGAGTCCACCCCAATACCTGTATCATTCATGTCCCACTTGCACACATCTTTATACATACACTTTGCCATCCTTCTTTGATGACAGCAATGGTATAACAATGATGTAATGGACAAAACATAAAGTAATTTAATTCTGTTCAGACTGAAGACAGGTCAGGTCTTGGTCAGATATGACTGGGCTACCGTATAAAAGTAACCTGTACCACCTGTCTTCTGTTACGCCGAATGTTGCAAGGCGTATACTAACCCAACAATCTCAAATGTTAGAATAATAGTGTACCTTAAATATATTTACACTGGAACCCACAGGGTAAAATAAGTTAAGGTCGACCAAAATATACACGAAGGAAACTAGACAGGGAAGTTTAAAATATTGCGGCCCGGGGGGGGGGGGAGGGGGGTGGGTGGGGTGGGGAGGAGGATGGGTGTATTCCGTGAGGAAGCGATACGAATACTTGGCCTGATTTGGTTCATTACCTATGTTTCACTGTGGAAGGGAGCAGAAAAATATAAAGCAGACGCAGAAATGTTAGAGCAAGAATGAATTGGAAAAAAGAGCACTAGTGATAGGAGTAATTAAAATTTGATTTCGGAATTATGCGAAAAAAGATTCAATGTGGCAGGCAAAACGATTATCAATACACGAGAACCATTGCAATTCTCAAGAGATGCTAAGGTATGGCTCTCAACCTTTTTAATGCCGCGACACTTTAATACAGTTCCTCATGTTGTGGCGACCCTCAAACATACAATTATTTTTGTTACTACTTCATAACTTCAACGAATATATCCTTTCTGAAGGTCTTACGCGACACCTGTGAAAAGAGCGTCGCGACCCACAGGTTGAGAATCGCTATACTAAGAGCAATGCCTATCATAGTGAAGTAGTGTCCATAATACTATCTGAAACAGAGAATGAACTAACAGAGTTGAAAGTAATTGGTTCTATAAAAACGCACTAACAGAGATTGAAGTAATGGATTCTATAATAAGTACAGCTTTTAGATCTATTCAAAAACAAAATAAAAAGAAAGGGGATCCAATATTACACATTTTTGTCAAGGGTGTCAATATATTTACTGGCACATGCTGTGTGCGATCCGGGGCCCCATTGTGGGGAAAACAAGAATGGACCCACTGCCTGCCCAAGAAGCATGTCGTAAGAGTCGACTAACTGGGGGTTCCTTCAAAGTCGGAGTGCAACTGCCAGAGATGCAAGGAACCAACAATATGTTTACAGATAAGTCAGATGTGTGAAACGGATGTGCACGCAACACTCAGGTTCTCGGACAAGACTCAAGTCCAGAGATAGACATATACCCAGAACT